ACCAGATTTTACCTCGTGTCTATTCTTAGCATTGGGGTTTCCCAATTGCCCCAGCCTCCGATATCCACTTTTCACGTTACCATCGAGTTATTTTTAATTAGCCAATCAGATCACGGCATTTTTAGCACAAACTGTATCAACCAATCAAAGCGAGGCAACATCTACGTTTGAAGCGGCTTTCCCGTGTCAGGTATATACAAAGAAACAAACAACTCTTAGATTTTCCACAGGTTCTGAACCAACAATCTTTCCGGGCCTCCTATTCAAAATATCATTTTCAGGGACTATACAGTAGTCTAATAGACTATCCCTGGGAACGGTTTCCTCTGGTGGTGATGGGTGTGATATCCAAAATTACCAACAGTCGTTTTCGTCTCGATCAGTCTAAATTCTGTAAAACGCACCCACCTCGCTCCATTAAATAAAAGAACAACAAAACAATCTAATTGGTCATAACCAAAAAAGTATAAAGAAGACAAAACAACAAGCCCAAAACACACTCCCAGCAAAGCAAACCAAACAAATAAAACAACCACAAAAGTGCTCCGACTTTTCGCTGCAACAGAATCCTCTGGTCTTTCCAAATAATACTGAAAGAATCACTCTGTAATAAAGAAATAGAGTAGTGTAAGTGAGAACACAACTATGCGTCTCTTTGTTGGTTGCAAACTTACGAACATGAACTTACGTCTAATGGATTTACACATTCAGTTTTAGAATAAGGATCTTGAGGCGAATGCCGGTTTTAAAAGTCTTACTCACTTATCCTAAATGTACGTACATACCCAGATGGCCAGATTCAACTTCAATACGTAAACATTAATTGATTTAAAGTATTTTATTCCCCGACAGCCATATGATATACAATAAAGAATAATAAATACAAAAGGAAAACGGATCAGCAAACAGGCTGCATCAGCCTATATAAGTGCTTCTCCTAAACTTGACGAATGGGTTTATTTATTTTATTTTTTTAAATTTATTTTTTTATTAATCATTTAAATGGTTTTTACAAAATTATTGGTTTATTAATACATTTATGGAAATATAGAAAATGCGCAGACAAATGTTTTCATGATTCAATAAATTCAAACTAAATACAACATATGGTACCACACTTAATGAAAAACGGTTGGCATCATTCAAGAACTTCTAGACAGATTTTATTATCAATTCGCTTTAATACTGAAACAAAGATTAGAATAGCATGTAAACTTACATTATTTTGAAAAAGTATTTGTTAAATCTGAATCTATCATACAGAGGTCACTGAAGGAAGTAATGAAAGGGATCCTCTCGACTGCTTCCACAGGAGCAGGTTCGGCTGTCAGACAAGCATGTATCAGACAAGTGGGAGGTAAACAATAATTACTTCCATTGCATGATGATGATGATGATTTGGAGATTTAACGTGCGCTTTTCGACATAATACGTATTTCGCACATGATTCCATTGCAGTTTCGTGTTGTTTTAAATATTCTCTCATGGAATCACTTGTGTACATATTACAGTTCATAAAATATGTACATACAACGTAGTTATAAAAACACACACAGCCAATTGCCCAACGATTTACGAGAGACAAATAAATACTAAAATACTAAAACATTATAGGAATATGACATAAACGTATCTAAAAACGTATTAAAATATACACATAATAAAGTGGTACCAATAAGGAAAAAAGTTCAGTTATATAAAATACTATAGATGTAGCTGAAAAGACAGACGATATAGTATTATGTACGTAAATTAGTTCGATGTTTTTTTATTATTTTATTGTCTTTGGTCTATGTCATTTAAATCGACGGGTGTCTACCGCTGGCTTAGTACACCTTTAATCCTTCTTTCAAGGACGTTAATCCCCAGACGTTCAACCCTTTGTCGATTTGTTTTGATCGAGTCGGGTAACACTGTAGCCCTGTACGAGTAACTTTCATTTCTGGCCCAATGAAATATGACAATCTACCTTTCAAAATATCATTTGGACGCTTTTCTCGCCCGCATACTTTAATTTCAGAATGTGTAAATTTGGTTTCTTAATAGGAGAAAGTGCATTGCCTTTCCTCATGTGATCATTACGATGACCCGAGGCAACATCTACTTGACCTTCCTACGGATATGAATCCCTGTTCACACTAACATTACCCCTTGACCAACGTGTAGATGTGTCCAGTAGACACTGAAGCCACCCTTTAACTACATATGTTCAGTCGTCATTCATATGAAGAAAACAGAATAACTAAATTATTTTCATGTGATATATGTATTTCTATTATTTTTTAAACCCAGTAACTAACATCCACGTGTTCAATGAGGGCACTGTGTTTTTTTAATACAATGCCTTATATGAAAAACGGGAATAACATATCAAAAATAATGATTCAATAAAAATATATCTTTTACCGATTATTCCCGTCTCCGATGAGTCACTACGGTTGGAAAGTGATACTCATACAGCCAACGGTAAAGGTAATTACAACAACACTCCTATGGCTCACCACGTCTTCTCTGTACCAACGTTAGCTCTTCAGTATACTTATTCGTTATGAATTTAGTGAAGACATAACGTTATCTATTTCCAAAGGGATCAAATTAAACAATGCTTAAATAAGAAAGAAAAACATCGAAATTGGTTAGGTACATCTGCAACGTTAGCTCAATCAGTCTTTTCACATAGCCGGAGGCGAAGTCCGACATTTGTTTGTTGTAGGACAATGAGCAGTATATTGCTGACACAACCTTTTGGAAGCTACTGTTCTATGATCATCCAAGCATTGAGACATCTGTATGCCACTGTGATGCTTATTGTTCAGAGCATTGTTTAATTAGTATTCAACCTTTGCATGTCGCCTCTGTTGGTAGTACTCACAGTCTGCCAATTAACACCTTCACACAAACTTTGCATAACAAAGGGGATAATTAGAGGCCGAATAGTCTCATGTTGCCCACTTGGTTGGCTGAACTACCTGACAGTGAAGTGATTAGTAACGATAACTCCCTTCCCTTCAACAGCTGGGGCACAATCTGTTTGGTTATTACTTGTCTCAGGACATTTGGTGAGGTCGGGACAGATACATACACAAACTGAAATGGCTCGCTTAGCATTGGTAATATTCATCGGACTACTTGGTGAGTATAACACTGTCGTATCCATTGTCATATCTGCAACATGTGTCAGGCGACGCTGAGTACAGAATACGAACAACTCTTTCCAAGCATAGGTCTTCAGCGTCCCGTGTCTTGATCCACGTTTTGGGAGCGGTAGTATGCAAGGGTGTCTTCCACACAGTAGCTAAAGGCATCATTGAAGACAGGATATTTAATGGATGACAACCTGTTCCATTCTATTATGATGAGACGTTTCAATTTTAATGTATATCCTGATTGGGTTGTGAAGCAATAGTGTAGACAACTCATCGTGCACTTATGTCTCTAACATAACAATAAAACAGACCAAGTGTTGATATGTACAATCTCATGTGGTACACATTATAATTGGGAATCGCATTTGGTCATTGGTGGGTCACATCTGGAATGTTCTCAACATGCCTACCAAAAACGTTTCGGGAAAACTTGACTTAGTCATTCATGTTGTAACCCTGTAAATTTTGCAGATCAGATTTTAGTTCTAGCCACAGCTCAACATAGATCTGACGACAATCAATTACAGGCCACATCTGAACAAACAGGCTAACTAACTTAAAAGGCTAACTAACTAACTTAAAAGGCTAACTAACTAACTTAAAAGGCTAACTAACTAACTTGGATCAGTAACATCCAGTTGGCGATGACCGAACTATGTTCTATCATGAACTTGATGATAGTACAATTTGAAGAAAGAAATGTGTCGCCCTGTGTCCCATATAACGAATAGACACCGGATTCAAGTGCTTCATCTTTTACATGATCAAACTCGTCAACAATCGTCTTGGTGAATGTTGAACGTAAAACAGTCTTTCGTTGAAGGTTATTTATTAGTAATAAAAATCCATGTTTCAGTCTTACAGAGTTTAGTTTTAGAGAAAGTTGATAAGTTTTGCATTTTGTATCATCAAAGTAGTATTTTGTAAGACAGCGCCAACTCAACAGGTTTACCGATTTTGAATTATGTAAGCTGTCCACCAATATGTCCGTAAATTTGTATCAAATAGTAGCTTTCAGTTACCAAACCTTTTCACATAGTGTGACTGTGGGAAAGCAATTTCCCTTTATGTGAATTGCATAATTTCAAGGCATCCATTTCAATGATAGTCAGAAACAAACCGGCAATATAACAAATTAGGCTGAACATATCAGATAGTTTCTTTGCTTGTATGGTTTTGTCGAGGTATGGATTGTTCTAAATGTCAGGGCAACATCTCTGTTGCTTGTTATCTTCAAACAAAGATTGATGGTTATAAACACGACTGGGTTACAAAATCATTAGTTCATCGTTAACGTTTGTTGAAGTGACAGTGATTTTAAAGAAAGTTAGAAGTAATGAAGAGGCTTTTTCTTCTTTGCTTAAGTGGATACAATACAATAGGCGCTGAGAAACCGAGTAAAGTTGTATGTACCGTATGCAGTAAGAATATTTGTAACGAATGATCTATTTCTGAAGGTGAAGAACATGATGATTGTACACCTGCTGTGTCCACTATATAATGATATACGATATCCGCGTTCCCTCTAATGTTATCATCTGTTACGACATAAGATCCATTTGTCTATCCATCAGTAAGAAAACATTATTTATGTTAAAGATCCATCGAACTATCATGAGTGCACATGCGTAAAATATATTATGCAAGTACAAGTGTGTATTGTATGACATGTTGGCCTAAAGAACAATCAATTATTGTGGTTTTCATTGTTCATGTGCGATTTGATATATAGTTATAGTATTGACACATCTGCGGGAATGTATATACCTGATCTGTATTATTCTATATATTCAGGACATACTAGGTACTGTCCTCCAGTATTACGTCGATTATGTACATCAACATTTCTTACAGTAGCAGGTCTCGACGCCCACCAACGAGCACTACTGGACAAGCTGTTTGCCAAGTACAAGAAAGAAGTGCGGCCAATCTGTGAAGAGGACGCTCCTATAGAGGTGAAAGTTGGCATCGCTGTCAGACAGATCATGGAGCTGGTTAGTACATAGGTATTGTTTCCCTGTAACCTTAGGGATATTGAATGTTGAATGTTTCTGACACGCCACTGCAGTGCTACATGTCATTGTGGAAGACGAAGGTAGATTGACAGCATTCCTTTGGTGATTAATGTACTATTCTCCAAAAACAACTTATATATAGAGGGGGACATGCCGTTTCACCTTTGCATGACAATGTTTCTAACCTACACAAACTATGTGGAGATGTCAAGAAACATCAGAGAATGTAGATTTTCCTTTAGTAAAAAGTAGAAACAAGGGTGATATTATGATACATTTTATATTAAGATAGCATGCTGAAATGTTCAAACACGATTGTGCATGTTAAAACATTCCTTAGACTATACAGAACACTATATAACAACAATCTCAGTATAATGACAGGTTATACGGTGAACTGAACCATCCTCGTCGTTAATCTGGAGCTCCAGTCGACATCATAATATAGATTTTATTTTGTTCCAGGATGAACCCAGCCAGATATTGACTGTCAACGTCTGGGTCCGATTGGTAAGTGCTGCATCAGTCACTCGAATATTCTTTCATTCAAGTTGGTAAAAGGGTTCTTTTGTCAATCCAGTAATTGCCTACATCTTATCCGTGCTTCCTATGAGAGATCCTAAAGATTTCAGATAGGTATACAGACAACTCAACGATACTGTGCCCTGATCCACGGTGGACGTACTTACATCTGAATAGAAGAGCGAAATGACAATGTGGATGTCTTTTGTATTTTGGCGGAATTATTGAGTTTTAGAGCCTACATATATGGTGCATAGTTCATCTGGGGCGTGGAATACTTATGAACAGTCGTAAATCCAAGAGTGATTTTCCTTTGCACTCCAGCAATTACGAGATATTTTGGTAGTACACAACCTTCCGCTCCACCTTCTAGGCTCTTCTGGACATTTTACCCTTTATCTGCACAGTTGATATTTATTTCCATTCTACACTCTTAGTTAATGAGCCGAAGAGTTGCCTCTACTCCCTACCATTGAGTGCACTAGGTATCCCGACCGCTGTCACATATTGGTGTTTATGGTGGTATATTTGTTGCAGAACTGGTACGACTGTCAGATGACCTGGAACGCCACCGAGTACGGCGGCATCTCAAAACTCATCCTTCCCTATAAGAAAGTATGGACTCCAGATATTACTCTATATGACAAGTGAGTGAGATTCACATTAGTCCTTTCTGTAACTCTGTTTTACATAGTGACCCGACCGCCTCCGTGGTGTAGTGGTTAGAGCGTCCGCCCGGAGAGCGGAAGGTCGCGGGTTCGATCCCCGACCGCGTCATACCAAAAGACGTTAAAATATGGTACTTGTTGGTCCCTGCCTGGCGCTCGGCATTAATGGGTACAACAAGGACTGGTCGGCTCGGAGTCTGTATAATGTGTCTGAGTGGGGTATTCATGCTTCACTGCGGCATTGTATCTCAGTGAGGCTAGCACTATAAAACCAGCTTATGTCTGGGCTAGTACAAGCAGCCGCACCTACACATACACTCGCATGCACGGCGTCATATGAGCGAAATATTCTTCAGCACGACGTTAAACCCAATTTCACCTCACCACCTCACCTCACATAGTGACCCGTGAGGAAACCAGGTAAGAATACCAAGAGGGGACTACATGGATCAAGTCGCTCAGAGAGCTCAGACTTAGCTGATAGCATGTCAGCGTAACACGAGTCGATGTTTAAAATGTCACCCATGTGATTGCTTGGTCCAGACATATCTCCATTTTATAGCTGGAATATTGCTGATTGCGGGGTTAAAAACAAAAACGATGAAACCAGCCATTCAAACTGACGACCGCCATGTTTCCAAACCTCTGTAAATGACAACATACTTAAAAGATATGTGTGTTGCTGTAACAACAATTCTTTTGGACCCATCCCAGTGCTGGAGACGAACTTATTGGACTGAAGGACTACAGGCCGACCTTCACCTCAGACGGCGCCGCCAGTTACAACTTCCCCACCGTCATCAAAAGTCTCTGTCCTGTCGACGTCACCTACTTCCCCTTCGACGGTCAAACCTGTGCCCTTCGGTTCGGTTCCTGGGCCTACAGTGGGCACCAGCTCAACATCACCATCGGCGACAAGGCAGCTGATATATCGGACTACAAAGTCAACACAGAGTGGGAGCTGTTGAGTGTCCCAGCTGCGCGTCACGAGAAGTTCTACAGCTGCTGCCCGGAACCCTATCCCGACGTGACGTTCTACATCTCCATGCGACGTAAGCCGTTCTTCTACATCGTGAACCTGCTGTTTCCCTGTATACTGATCTCTGCTGTGGGTCTGCTGGGCTTCCTGCTACCTCCAGACGCCGGGGAGAAGGTTGCGCTAGAGATCACGATGCTGCTGTCGCTGTCAGTATTCATGCTGCTTGTGGCGCAGTCGTTGCCACCGACATCGGACAACTTTCCTTGCCTAGGTATGTTCTCAATACTCCATTCAGTCTCGGTTGATAAAACGTGTATTGTGTGTGTGTGACATGCACAACAGAAGACCCTTATAGCTTTAGCCAGTAAGTGGTTTGACTGGCCCATCTCCCAATATGTTCTGTTGGCAGGTCTGTTAAACCAGATACGATCGTTAAAAGCGACAGTAATAGTACCAGTGGATATAAGGTGATAGGTCTGTATAAAATGCTAGTTTTAATCCACATACCGTCTTTACGAACAGCCTGTCACGTGATCGTGTAACGCATTCAGGTTAAGCGAGTTGAATTTACACCGCTTTTAGCAATGTTCCAGCACAATCATGGTGGGCCTTATATATCCTACTTTTCGAAAGGAACCCCGGCTTTAGGCGTGACGAGCGAACTCTTTATCTCTGTCTCCCAAACACATGAAGACTAGTTTCCGACAACTAAATACCATTCTCTTCCACAGGAATCTACTTCTGCGTGGCAATGCTGCTGGTGGCGCTCTCCACGGCCCTCACAGTGATCGTGCTGAACGTGCACTTCCGCGGTCAGCATGGCGACCCAGTTCCTCACTGGATTAGGAAGATATTTCTCGGGACTCTTTCGGAGCTCCTTTGTGTGAGGAAAGAACCCGCAGTGTACCCAGTGAAGATAAAGGACGTATACAGTCACGTCCACAGGGTAAGATAAGACTAGTTTCACACCGGTAACGCAAGAAAGGCATTATAACTATTAATTCAAACAGTTTTCGTTCTGTAATCCTATGGATGTTTGTGATTAAAGGAAACATGGTCCTCAATAAATGAAACAGAGATACATATCTGAGATCTCTGAACAGAGGTCCATGTATATATACATTCTGACGGGGTAGTTTTAAAATACTACTTGTCGAAAGAACGTACTAGTATATCTTAGGTTAAAATGCACAAATTGGCTCTTCCAATACAAATAAAATCTCATTTGATATACGAAATATGCAAAGCTTGTCTTAATAGTGTAGATGGAGTTGTGGCTTATTGATACGCCGAATCTAGATTCGATTCATGTATATTGTAGATATTCAGCTACTATGTCCTGATTAATTTACAATTTCCATTGTTTCAGGACCATTTCAACACGTTAAAGCAAAAGGAAATGGTTAGTTTGGAATCTCAAGACACTGGTGTGCTCGACTATCATCATTTACTGCCATTGAAACACGTGCTGGAGGAGCAGCTATCCGTTCTGAAGGAGATAAACAGCCGGTACAGCGACAAACAGGCTGCTGGGGTCATTGATGAGGAGTGGAGGAAGGTGGCAGTCGTGGTGGACAGACTGCTGCTTGTGCTATTCTTCATAGCAACTGTAGCCAGTACTGTGGGGATTTTACTTTCCTGTATCTTACATTGATCCCTGTAGTAGCCTTAACTTGATGAACGCTAAACGTGGAAGTTACTCAGGCCAGGCCTCACACTCAGAGTGTGTGTGTGCGTGCGTGCGTGTGTGTATGTGTGTGTGCGTGCGTGTCAGTGTAAAAGAGAGTATTTATATATTTATAATAGAGTCTTTTTGGATATGTCCATCTTCACAATTAATGCATATTTGTTTATCTGCTCCTGTATCGAGTGAATTATGCAATGTATTTAAATCTTCATTTGTGTATATATTCTGTATAATGTTTATTGTTAATATCAACAGAGCTTGCTTTGATGGTTTGTAAAGTCAACTCTTACATCTTGACACTGTCCCTCCCAGACACATCACATTAGTGATCTCAGTGAAAGGTAGTCATCACATTAATCCATTCTGAGTAATCTATGTTGTCGAATGGCGGTTAATAATTTCGTCTTGTGTCTAAAGTAAAGAATCGTTCACAAATTCTGTCCTGGTATTAATGTGTCACCTGTCCTGGTATTAATGTGTGTCAACTGTTCTGGTATTAATGTGTGTCAACTGTTCTGGTATTAATGTGTGTCACCTATCCTGGTATTAATGTGTGTCACCTATCCTGGTATTAATGTGTATTATTAATTTTGTATTTCAAACAAGCTTGCACAACTTTAGTCAGATACATTACATCTGATTTCGAATACTGTTGAGCCTTGTTACAGCCAGAGTTACTCCCGTTTGCTTTCATTGTCCATCTCTTGAAGTTTGTTTCTCAAACAAGCCTGCATATGTGTGTTCATGCCCACGCGAGTGTACCCACTTTTAACTGTGCTGGAATAATAAACACATGTCATCTGTTCTGATGTTAATGTGTCATCTGTCGTGGTATTAATAGGTGTCAACTGTTATGGTATTGATGTGTCAACCGTTCTGGTATTAATGTGTCACCTGTCCTGGTATTTGTGTGTCACCTGTCCTGGTATTACTGTGTGTCATCTGTCCTGGTATTATTACCTGTCCTGGTATGTGTGTCACCTGTCCTGGTATTACTGTCCTGTCACCTGTCCTGGTATTACTGTGTGTCACCTGTCCTGGTATTACTGTGTGTCATCTGTCCTGTGTGTCATTCCTGATGTGTGTCACCTGTCCTGGTATTACTGTGTCACCTGTCATTACTGTGTGTCACCTGTCCTGGTATTACTGTGTGTCACCTGTCCTGGTATTACTGTGTGTCACCTGTCCTGGTATTACTGTGTGTCATTGTCCTGGTATTACTGTGTGTCACCTGTCCTGGTATTACTGTGTGTCACCTGTGTGGTATTACTGTCCTGGTATTACTGTGTGTCACCTGTCCTGGTATTACTGTGTGTCACCTGTCCTGGTATTACTGTGTGTCACCTGTCCTGGTATTGTGTGTCACCTGTCCTGGTATTACTGTGTCACCTGTCCTGGTATTACTGTGTGTCACCTGTCCTGGTATTGTGTGTCACCTGTCCTGGTATTACTGTGTGTCACCTGTCCTGGTATTACTGTGTGTCACCTGTCCTGGTATTACTGGTGTGTCACCTGTCCTGGTATTACTGTGTGTCACCTGTCCTGGTATTACTGTGTGTCACCTGTCCTGTGTCACTGTCCTGGTCCTGGTATTACTGTGTGTCATCCTGTCCTGTCCTGTGTGTCATCTGTCCTGGTATTACTGTGTGTCACCTGTCCTGGTATTACTGTGTGTCACCTGTCCTGGTATTACTGTGTGTCACCTGTCCTGGTATTACTGTGTGTCACCTGTCCTGGTATTACTGTGTGTCACCTGTCCTGGTATTACTGTGTGTCACCTGTCCTGGTATTACTGTGTGTCACCTGTCCTGGTATTACTGTGTCACCTGTCATTACTGTCATCTGTCCTGGTATTACTTTCGTGTCATCTGTCCTGGTATGTGTGTCACCTGTCCTGGTATTACTGTGTGTCACCTCCTGTCCTGGTATTACTGGTGTGTCACCCTGTCTGTGTGTCACCTGTCCTGGTATTACTGTGTGTCACCTGTCCTGGTATTACTGTGTACTGTGTGTCACCTGTCCTGGTATTACTGTGTGTCACCTGTCCTGGTATTACTGTGTGTCACCTGTCCTGGTATTACTGTGTGTCACCTGTCCTGGTATTACTGTGTGTCACCTGTCCTGGTGTACTGTGTACCTGTCCTGGTATTGAGTGTGTCATTGTCCTGTGTTACTGGTGTCGTGGTATTACTGTGTGTCACCTGTCCTGGTGTTTGTGTGTGTCACCTGTGTCATGTCACCTGTCCTGGTATTACTGTGTGTCACTGTCCTGGTATCTGTCCTGTCCTGGTATTACTGTGTGTCACCTGTCCTGGTATTATTGTGTGTGTCACCTGTCCTGGTATTACTGTGTGTCATCTGTCCTGGTATTACTGTGTGTCATCTGTCCTGGTATTGTGTCCTGGTGTGTTCACCTGTCCTGGTATTACTGTGTGTCATCTGTCCTGGTATTACTGTGTGTCACCTGTCCTGGTATTACTGTGTGTCACCTGTCCTGGTATTACTGTGTGTCACCTGTCCTGGTATTACTGTGTGTCACCTGTCCTGGTATTACTGTGTGTCACCTGTCCTGGTATTGTCTGTGTGTGTCACCTGTCCTGGTATTACTGTGTGTGTGTGTCATCCTGTCCTGGTATTACTGTGTGTCACCTGTCCTGGTATTACTGTGTGTCACCTGTCCTGGTACTATTACTGTGTTACTGTGTCACCTGTCCTGGTATTACTGTGTGTCATCTGTCCTGGTATTACTGTGTGTCATCTGTCCTGGTATTACTGTGTCATCTGTCCTGGTATTACTGTGTGTCATCTGTCCTGGTATTACTGTGTGTCATCTGTCCTGGTATTACTGTGTGTCATCTGTCCTGGTATTACTGTGTGTCATCTGTCCTGGTATTACTGTGTGTCATCTGTCCTGGTATTACTGTGTGTCATCTGTCCTGGTATTACTGTGTGTCATCTGTCCTGGTATTACTGTGTGTCATCTGTCCTGTCCTGGTATTACTGTGTCACCTGTCCTGGTATTACTGTGTCACCTGTCCTGGTATTACTGTGTGTCACCTGTCCTGGTATTACTGTGTGTCACCTGTCCTGGTATTACTGTGTGTCACCTGTCCTGGTATTACTGTGTGTCACCTGTCCTGGTATTACTGTGTGTCACCTGTCCTGGTATTACTGTGTGTCATCTGTCCTGGTATTACTGTGTGTCATCTGTCCTGTCTGTGTGTCATCTGTCCTGTATTACTGTGTGTCATCTGTCCTGTCCTGGGTATTACTGTGTGTCACCTGTCCTGGTATTACTGTGTGTCACCTGTCCTGGTATTACTGTGTGTCATCTGTCCTGGTATTACTGTGTGTCATCTGTCCTGGTACTGTGTGTCACCTGTCCTGGTATTACTGTGTGTCATCTGTCCTGGTATTACTGTGTGTCATCCTGTCCTGGTGGTATTACTGTGTGTCATGTCTGTCCTGGTATTACTGTGTGTCATCTGTCCTGTTATTACTGTGTGTCATCTGTCCTGGTATTACTGTGTGTCATCTGTCCTGGTATTACTGTGTGTCATCTGTCCTGGTATTACTGTGTGTCATCTGTCCTGGTATTACTGTGTGTCACCTGTCCTGGTATTACTGTGTGTCATCTGTCCTGGTATTACTGTGTGTCATCTGTCCTGGTATTACTGTGTGTCATCTGTCCTGGTATTATCTGTGTCACCTGTCCTGGTATTACTGTGTGTCATCTGTCCTGGTATTACTGTGTCCTGTGTGTGTGTCATCTGTCCTGGTATTACTGTGTGTCATCCTGTCCCTGGTATTACTGTGTGTCATCTGTCCTGGTATTACTGTGTGTCATCTGTACTGGTACGACTCACCTGTCCTGGTATTACTGTGTGTCATCTGTCGTGGTATTAATGTGTCATCTGTCCTGGTATTACTGTATACTATGGTCATTTCATTCATGACAAAACGCACACATACAAATACATGTACCTACAGCGCTTCATCTCCAGGGTATAGAGATTATCGAGGATGACAGCGCTGATAATAATAATAATAAAATAAAATAAATAGGAAGGTGTAAAACCATATTGTTTTCAAGAATACAATTATATAAAATGTAAATTTCAACACTAGCCCTTATTGTACAGTATAAAATATAGATGAAGTTGCATTGGTGACGGAAGGCATAGGTGACACTGACACAATGACTCAAGTAGAATTAATTCATTACAAATACAAGTACTGTATGAAACTACTTGTACATCTACAGTATATACACCCATAGAGCATCATACAGGATGACATACATTTTGTTATAATACAATACAAGGACACTCAAACATTGTTTAAACATTGACACATAATTGTTTGATCGGCATTCCAAAAGTTGGTGAGTCAATAATGAAACACACAACTACAACGCAACCGTCCGGATTAACGAGGCTTCACTGTATATGGATGACAACTTCTTGTTTATTGCATGGAGTGACGTTTAGGTGTAGATTCCTACACCGTTGTCGAGCTCAAAGCTTATTGAGGCAAAAAGGTTATTGAAGAATACACATCTGGCTACCACTGTGTCTTACAAGTATATCTTAGCATCGTACACTGAAAGGTGTAACACTGAAACACGATCATTCCGTTCTGTCAGCTCGAAGCGTGTTCCATGTAAACGATTTTCATATCGTGTCTATAGTTCACTAAACCACACCTCATCATCAAGACGCCAAAGTGACCCTTAATAATTCCATTGGAAACAGACGACGAAGAACTGGTGAGCAGATGTAGATATGATTGAGTGTCTGGGTAAAGGGGATAACGTCTGGGATCCGGGACTTCATTCTGCGTCGAGACCAGCGGACAACACAGTCAAGAAGGTTTCTATTTTGCTGCGATTAATTGAATACAATCTAGACTGTGCTACAGAAATATTTATTGTATATAACTGGTTTAATCATCACATTTCGCTAAGAGCATTCCGCCGGTCAATACTACGGCCATATTCGGACAGGTACTAAGAATCACGTGCATGCGCCTTGCCTGGTCCTTCGCGCTGTTTCTCTATGTGATTAAAGTTTTTGAGAAAAGCAATCTTTGTGTCTTTACTCCATTTACAGTTGTGGTAATTTATTCCCCGGATAGATCTAAAAGCGTGGCATTCTTCTAGATATGTAGCTTTTAATTTATCTTCAGTGAAAATGGGAATAACTTTTTTTACCACCACTAAGCGAATCCGTTAATGTTACATTACCCTTCCAAATGTCCTGGCGAGACACGACAAAGTTCTTTGTTATGAATAATAATATTAACTCAGATTTTAACAAGCACTGATCGAATGCCTCGACTTCAGTTACTCCGTCAGGTACAATTTCTTCTTCCAAAGCCACGCTAACCCTGTTCCCATTATACAGCTGAAGATCCTGCAAGGTGGATCGCAGATCCATTACGTCATCTTCGTCATCCTTGCTGTAGACTAACGTGGCATGGGAGAACCCAGGGTCGGGGTCAGTGCTGGAAGGTAGGTTGAAGATGACGTTGTTGGCTAAGGAAAAGGGTAGGACAAAAACAAATGCGTTAGTTCAGAATTAACAAATAAGAAAACCATCTCAGCCTGATCATATTTGAAATACTGGTATCTAGCTCTGCCAGGTTGTTGGCGAACGTCTGTGTCATGTACATGGTATCGCAATCGCCCATTTTACGGTAATGTTACCGTTCGAAGCTTTCTGAGAAAACAGGAAAACTATATATTTCTTATGTTACAGGTACTTTATCTCTGTTATCTGTTAAACTCAATAGTCGTATGTCGTTTTAAGTATTTACATTTTGCGTAAATCCTAATACATCCACATATATAATGCGATTCATGGTATTTTGAAACAAATGAAAGTTATATTTTTATAGCATGATATACTTCGCGTTTATGTTCATTGTATCTATGGTCTTTGTATTTTTCAACATTGGGGACCTTAAAGTATTAAAAAACGTCAACCAGAAAGCTTTCTCAAATGTTAGAATTGTGTGGGAGAAATGCTATTCAACGTTTTGTAGGTTACAAGTAATGACCTCCACGTTTGTAGGAATTTAGGAAACAAATCATATTTCATTAAAAATATAAGGTATTTAGGGGATGATAAAAATGACAATTGAGGAATGCAGATGGACGAAGGTGAGTCCTGCATAAAATGATATTTGACACAGAGAAAATATATTTCTCTACAGACAGACACATCTACGTCACCACTATTCACAAAATAAGTGCTGGTACATACCTTGGCCAATAGCAACAACAGATTTGACCGAATGTGAGTCTTTGATTCCAGTAACTAAAACATACATGAAACACTTTCTAGTATGATTTTCCCATGCAAGGTGGAGACATTGCTGGCAAGTGATAGACAATGTCAGCTTAATCGCCAAAGGTGTTTTGGAGACAAAATAGGAGATAGGGAGGTTAAAACACGAAGCAGTGTCACATGAAGCGTACCACAGGTGCATATGCTCAGCGTGATTCAGTGATATAATATTTCCGGACGAGGATGTGATAACACAAAATAATGTACAGTGTGATTTGAAAATATGTTCCCTGACAAAAGTACTGACTACAATTCGTCAGTTGTAGCTAAGTTTTATTGAAAGAGATACCAGACACTGATTGTAATTAAATAAAATGGGTACATGGTGATGTTTTTCAAATACAAGCGACAAAACCCTTTCCACATTCATAAGAAATCCCTGCTAATTGCAGAGTCGATTGTACAAGTGTGACTATGTCATGAGCTGATATGTGTTTCAGCAGTATTGTAGCTGTATCGCGTCTGGACCTGACAGCAATACGATGACATAGCATGTGTTTATGAATCACTATGAAATAGAGATGATACCAGGTGTTCGCGAACAGGTGAGTGTATCCTGCCCCACTGGTGGCACCCGTCATAAACATAAGCAAAGTCTAGTCAGTTGTTCACCAATAATAATTCGAGAACGTACGGTATAATTCAAAATAGGGAATTGCATCGGACATCATTTTTGTCAGACGCATCTTTGGAAATTTTGTCCACATGTCTACCAAAAAACCTCTTGGAAGCTTTACTGAGGGCTTGAATGTTGTAACCTTGACCAAACAACTTCTGAGCAAGAGTGGTATGACATTCTTTGAAATCCTGATAAAAAGAACATGCTCGATAGTACCTCAAAAGTTGTGAAATGTAAACACCAAAGGCTGAAGATGTTGGAATATTGCTCTGCATTAAAGGGAAGTTGACTATTGGAAAGTTGAAATCATCCCTTTGGTCATACAGCCAACTCTGAATCTTTATGCATAGATCTAAATATGAAACAGTTGATGTGATCTCACTCGTCTCCTTAATTTCAAGTTGGGAAGGTGGAAGGGAACTGGCTATTTGATGGTTATTGAACGATATTAGATCATCGATGTACAGTAAAACTTAAGTCAGATGTCTTGGTCAAAGTCACCATATCAGCCTTTCACATAATTGGATTTACCTTAAGTTGTTTATCAGGTAACGATTAGGAAGGCTACGTATGAAAAGTTGGCTCTGTCTGTGACATCAGGCATCCATAGATCGTGAAGTTACTTTGATGAACCATCCAGTACTGCTGGTTATAACCAGTGTGCTTGGTAACACATTGAAAACTAGACCTTCAAAGCCAACCAGTCACTGCAATCAGCTTCGGCCATCACTTTCTTGTAAACAGGCATGTGAAGAACATCTTCAGTGAAATTGATAGTGATATGTTCAATGCTGAGTGAGAACCAGAGACCTTGTGCTGCCATACTAACGGACGGCATAGCATAAGCTGATGATAACGATATCAAGACGAACTAGAATTGAAAATTAATGAATAAATGGGGGTTGGAGTAGGAAGGGAAGAGATCGTAGACATGTGCAGAAACCCGTGTGCAACACAGCTGTAACTATGGCAATCAAATTCTTTAACTTGCCTTGCATTTGAGGCCCATGCAACAGACTCCTTAACCACTCACACATTCTACTCATAGTTCTATGCTCAGAGTGAACACACCGTTAGGTCAGTATCAGTGTTACTCCGTACTTTCCTTTCAAGCAGGAAGTGACGCTTGTTACGCCATCTATGTTTAACAACTGGATTGTCCCCTCTCGCAACTACCCGTAAAGCTTGCCCCTGAATGAATCGTGTTCGTAAAGCGTGAAGCACCCGCATGTAAATCGCATGTTTGCTGCAGGTAGTAATATATACCGAACTGTCAGTGGAAGGGTGTGATGGGTGGTTGTTTTACCCGCTGGAAACTAGCAACAAGGCCAGTTTCTCCTGAAAATGGGAACAAAGCAACATGCAAAGCCGTCATAGAATATAACAAGAAACCGAAAACAAAATTCTTCTCTGGCTTTTTGAAAACGAAGAAATTAGCATTCCCTAACTTACTCATGAACAGCAGTCATCTACAATAATACACGGAGCGAATATATATATGAGGAAGTGTATTAGAAGGACCTTGTCTCAGACGCGCGTTATTCAAATATTTTGTACGAACAAAGCTTGCCTGAAGATAAAAACAGTAGATTTTCTTTTTAAACAGCCGTTTTTACTCACATTGACCATACATATTGTTATATGAAAGTGTAGCATGCAATTAAACAGTGTTGATATTGCATCAAACTGAGTGCGTTAAGATACAGTAAAAGTTAATAACATTGTGTTTGATATATGGCAGTTTTATATATTTTGAGGCTTTTAGGAGTCAGGTGTACTCTGGACTTTATTTAGAACAGCTGTAGACTAATCCACGACAGTATAGCTTGGAATGTTCTAGTATGTATACGTAAGGCCATCTAAGTCGGTGAATAGATGCCTCTATCATCTCACATGACATCAAAACCAGATCACATTTTCACCATGGACATCGCGTATGGGACTTTATATGAAACTTGACCGCTACTGCTGCAAGATAAATCTGATCATTTCTACTGTTGTGTATTGGCAAATAAATTGTATTGCAGTATATTGCGATTCAGGTACCCGTATTGCGATACGTATTGCGATATAGTTTGACAGTAAGTGACATTAATTGTACATGTCGATCCTATTTTCCACATTATAAGTCCCTAAAATATATATGTTATGATTCTGATAACAGCCATCGCAAACTTAGGTTGCATAGTTAGGGATTCTATTTTCTCTCTCTTTTTTCATTTTTTTGGGTAAATTTATAGTTTTACAATATGCCGTTTTGTCATTGAATAGCGAAGTAAAACATTTGTTGTGAAGGAAAGTCTGTGTAGATTTTAATTTAAACCATAAACATAATCACAAAAACTTCTTATATGTTATTTATATACCGGCTCTCAGAAAACAATATTACAATAGGTATCGTCTGAAAATGGTACAGCGGTATACCGGTAATAGAGTGCAGTCCTAATAATTTCATTGCTGTTGCCACGGTTTCTGTATTTTATACAGTCGTTGTCGTTGTGCTGCCACTGAATTGTGTCTTGTCACTCTAGTGTGTACTGCTATTGCCATTGTGCTGCCACTGAATTGTGTCTTGTCACTCTAGTGTGTACTGCTATTGCCGTTGTGCTGCCACTGAATTGTGTCTTGTCACTCTAGTGTGTACTGCTATTGCCATTGTGCTGCCACTGAATTGTGTCTTGTCACTCTAGTGTGTACTGCTATTGTCGTTGTGCTGCCACTGAATTGTGTCTTGTGTACTGCTACTCTAGTGTGTCTTGTCTGCTGCTATTGTCGTTGTGCTACCACTGAATTGTGTCTTGTCACTCTAGTGTGTACTGCGTTGTGCTTGAATTGTGTCTTGTGTCACTCTCTAGTGTACTTGCCGTTGTGCTGCCACTGAATTGTGTCTTGTCACTGCTATTGTCGTTGTGCTGCCACTGTCTATTGTCTGCTATTGTCGTTGTGCTGCCACTGAATTGTGTCTTGTCACTCTAGTGTGTACTGCTATTGTCGTTGTGCTGCCACTGAATTGTGTCTTGTCACTCTAGTGTGTACTGCTATTGCCATTGTGCTGCCAATGAATTGTGTCTTGTCACTCTAGTGTGTACTGCTATTGTCGTGCTGCCACTGAATTGTGTCTTGTCACTCTAGTGTGTACTGCTGTTGTTATCACTTTGAAGTGATTTGTATTGATTGAATGGAATCGGTGGATGAAACAGTGAGAATCATCTGCTGCCATATATGGAAATCTAAACTTGTTTCCCACTGAGTAATTATACCTCCAAGCAGCAGAGATAAACAACAGATCACCTTCATCTTCCGATAGTTCTAATAATACGTTAACCTCAAGTAAATCACAACCTCTGCTAAATGGAGGTCTCCTTCGTGGAGGATTATCTCACATGACATACAAAATAATAAACCATACCATATGCAAATGTGCTACATGGGCATTGTCAGCAAAGTGTTCAGGATATAATGTAGCACGCTTCTACACCTGCTGTGCACTGCTGGTGTGTGTTTGTGTGTGTGTTACATTGGAAGTTTCATGTCCAAGATTGGATGTTTCATTTCCAAGATTGGATGTTTCATGTTCATTACCCTTTCATACTGTGTCAGCCTGGCCATGAGTAGCTGTTTGAAGACGTGCACACTCAACGACATATCTTTGAAATGAACTGAATTCGACCAGTTAGATGTGTGTTAAGGAACTCTTGCGATTTCTTACAGAAATGTCGTGTATATTGTTTCTAACATTTCATATTTCAAAAGTCTTGCCAATACATTACAGCTTACAACTCGATAAAGTTGTTTCATCTGCAAGAGGTATACTGGGACTAGATTAAGTCCATATAGAGAGTTGTTCAGTAGATCATTAGACTAGAGACCAAAGAGCCTTGCAGATATGACACGTCCTTGGCCAACGCCTTGTTTGACATGAAATAAAGCCACAAGTGATGCTAATATAAGTGATTCCATGGAGTTATATGGTAGCGCAGAATTCTCCATACTTTACCAGTAAATCCGTATCTACATGTATCTTACTTGTAATACAAACCGTCAAGCCATACCCCAGTGAATGCTTTCTAGGTATCGTGTAAACGCAGTATACAGGCGTATCTCTCGCGTTACAGTAGGCAAGACTTTCCTGAGACTACTATGTCAGCGCCTTTTCTAAATCCAAACTGAAAAGCATGTGGAAATGTGACATTATTATTAGTCCACTAGTCTTTGAAGTATACCTCTTTCTAATAATTCGCGTGTTAGCCCTTTAGCTAGTAGAGTCGGTTTTACATATCCCATAACCTTTGTTTTCAGGGAGGATATGACCGACATACATCTCTAGAATACAGTTGTATTTAACAATACGTATTGTATGCATGACCTTCTTGATTATAAAATGTCTCTTGAGGTTGTTGGTTTCACACTTAACTCCTTTGCGTTCGACATCTAGGTTATATTGTTGTTTCCAATCGCCCCTTAACAGTATGGTACTGGAATGAACAAATCTCAATGTCAGATCAATGTTCTAGATTCCTACAATGTTCTTCCTGAGAAAATAATACTTGTTTTACATCTGACATCAAACATGTCTATACACAAAGTTGCAGCTATCTCGGTTGTGTAACTTCTGAGATGTGTGTGTCCTTAAACAAACGACAATATGTGTTGCTATACATCATAACAATTTTTCAGATTACTAGACTTGTGGTTTCTAGGAGGATCTCAAAAAGTTTTCACTTTCATTTAAAACCAGGCACAATTTTAATTAAATCCAGTCAGTTAATGATAATAATAATAACTGTGATTTCATAATATTCAATCAAGCTAAATTGTATTGGTCTTTGACCTAAAAAAATCTTGACTTGTCTTATAATGCATGTCTTATTCCATGTACAAGACACATGCTCCAAGCACCAACACACAATCTGATTATTATTACCCCAGGTAACCCAAGCTGCCTGTGAGACGCTAGTAGGTTAATAGTCACATGACTTAACCCACCAAATACCCATTTTCTGCTGGACGAACAGAGGCAAGGTTGTAACGGCGGCTTAGCTGATTGGCTACTGTGAGAATGCGGAGCCAGACAAGGGAGGTAATAAACTCATCGCCCCAAGCCGTAGATGCATCCAGGGCATAGTGGAGAGTGATCGTAACGTATACCCTGGAGATTATCGAGGATGGGGGCAGGACCGAAGTCCTGGACCTCTCAAGAGTCATGATTCCAAACACGTCACCCATCCAAGAACTCTCCGAGCCCAACGCTGCTCAACTTCAACTGATTTGTGACCTGGACCTAAGCTCTATGGACAGGACCACTTGCCACGCTGATGACTCTTGACTAACAATGACTATCAAAGTCGGAAACAAGTACACTGAAACAATACATATAAATCATTCATCACATTTACTTTCAAACTTCCCATACATTTCGCAAATACATTTGTTTGACCAAGAGAAATGATGAATGGAACACATCCTGACAATCACCACTAAGCTACCCTGCCTTTCCAGTCACCTTCTGTCATTCTCTCTGTGCAGGAGTGTTATTGTAGTGTATACTTAAGTATAGGAAATATCTACATGGATTTAAAAAATTGCAAAGATCTTAAAATAAAGACAAATATGCATTTGATTTTAATGATTAACTGGCAAAGTATCACTTATCGCTTAGGTAGCGATGCTTATTCAACGGCATACTTGTTTAGGCTTTCCACATAATACATATGTTACATCCATACAGTGAACAGCTTCAAATTACTCTTTGAGACATATGAACATTCATTTCAAAAACTCACAATAACTAGTTGCCAGTAGGGTAACAAAAATATATTTTAAAAATAATCTGGATATGAAACATGTACAGCAGGATGTCTCTCAGTTTATCCAAATCTTGTATCAACAATTAAGAGATCTTAATTTATCCACAATTCAGTATGTAGTATAACTTATGAAACAAACACCAATGTTCAATAACTTCACTATAAAAAAAAGACAGCCATGGCCTAAAACAACCTATTTCTCTGTAGCAGAACATTACAGCAATAGCAGTCGCACACCTTGTTTTACAGACATTCTATGCCAGATGTAAAAGGAAATACATATAAATTTGCTGAATGATGAAAAGAAATCAACAACATGCAATTTGAAAAATGTGAAGTACATTGTATATAAAACATTCACTTGTTAGTTAGTCAGAATGTTAGCTGAAGGGTGGTGAATTTAACACACAGTCCTCACTCAGTTGAACCTTGGCTAATACCAGGTACTAATACCCTTCTTGTGTACCCTTTAACTACACATTACCAAGCACAACTGCATAAAACAGAGATTGCGTCAACATTGTGAAAAAGTGACAAGAAACACAAGATGAAGGCAGGCATGCTGGTGGGGCAGGATACGCTTACTTCCTTGTGAACACCTGGTGTCACCAGTGTTTCAGTGATACGTATGATGCACATACTTATGCTCTAGTCAGAATTATAAAATAGACTCTCCATTTAGCAGATATTACTAATGATTACAGAAATATTTTTTGTTTCTTCAAATAATAACATATGTATATGGCATACAGATCTCTGCCAACTTATTGGCATCTCTGTGTCACACACACACACACACACACACACACACACACACACACACACACACATTGCTGTACCCTCAACTAGGTGTTTGCACATATTCATGTGGCCACCATCTGGTCATCTACCAACGGATTCGTGGGTTCTTTTAAGTGCACAGGGTGTTGTACTGTACACTAGGGGTTGTACAAGAATCTGAAAAGAGTCTGCATACAAAGTTGACTCCAAGGTTTTTACACCCGGTCACAGGTGCGCTCGATCCGGCACCTCCAAGCTCACTGGATTACTAGCCTGGCGCCTTAGACAGCTCGCCCACCGTGCCCCCACCCGTTGCAAATAGGGTAACAGGTTCAAAAAAGTGTACTAAAAAAGTGTGAAGCAAGCAATTAATAACTACATAGTTAACGCACAAAACAAAACATGAAGATAAAGTTTGAAAACATCCCAAAAGAGCTTCACATGAACCAAAAGTATTAGGCATTTACATTCCTAGCAACAATGAAGTCTCAGAAATATAAGACCAACATGAGAATGTGATGTTCGTTATAGAGATCCACCTGTAGAGGGCCTCTTCAAGTAAAGTCATTACATTAAATCAAATACAATTTCATAAGCTTATTCTCGTCAATAAATAGTGTTATGTAGCAAAAGGAGAGTTTTAATACATGCTCAATGAATATGCAGACCAACATAATCTACACAATCTAGACCTCAGGAGATGACACATGAACAGCTTCAACACAAGAACACTGCAAATGAAACATCATCATTGACATTCATAACTGCAAATTAGGTGGAGTTGGGTTCCATGGCCACAACCAAGCCAGTAACAACACAAGGACAGATCATGGGGGGTACAATCTGACATCAGTTGTTGGATGTGTGCAACAGCATTGCACTTACAGTCATGTGTGTGTGTGTGTGCATGCATGCATGCAAATCCATGCCTGTCTGGACTTCTTGCACTTCTCTGATGAGACCACGCCCACTCAGACACAGCATATGACTTTAACTTTAAGCCGACCGGGTCTTGTTTAATTCTCTCAACTCCAGACTCCAAACAGGGTATCGTCAAGTATACATACCACCTTCTAGCATGTGGCCAGGTATTGATCCACTGACTTCATACTCTATAGGCAAATGCTCTACCTGCTATGCCATGGAGGAAGTAACGGACACACATGACTTGGCTTCCGGAACAACTATGTTTATTGATTGTTGGTTTCAGTTTGTGATGAGCTTCAAGTGTCATCCACTGCATCTTGTAATGAGGGTGATAGGACATTCTATGGAATCCAAATCACTGTCTCTCAAAACAAATAATGACCATATTCACAGAAACAAGTGTCTTAGTGCATAGAAAATTGAGAAAGAGGCCTTGCTACATCCACAGACAGTGTGTTAAATCAGTTTTCAGAGATTAAGCATCAGAGAACAAACTGAGTTCAAAAGTGAAAATCTTTTCAACAATAGTTAAAAGGCAACAATTATATGCCCCTTGTACAGTGCTGTGCTTTCTGTAAACACAGTCTCTAACACACACAAGACAATATGGGGCATATATAAAGAATACTCCAAACAGATTGGTCTTGAAGTTGATAACGGGCACTTAAATACAACAAAAACAGTATCTCAAATGTGGTTCATTAAGCACTTATTCATGTAAGTAATTGTCCCATCTCTAAGTAATTGTCAAATTTGCCATTTTTGCAGCTAGATTTTCTTGTCTCTTATGTCGAGCACTGATCAAATTCTTCCTGAATCTCTCTGCTACTTTGTCATTCCACTTGCAGTCAATGTACTCAATCCCCTTTATTGCTCGTATTGAGGGCTTTAAGTACTTCAGATTATGCTTTTTGTCCAAGAAAATAGGAATCACAAATTCCTTTTTACTATCTGAAAATAAGAATGATTCACATAAAGCAATATTCTGCTTATAGCAACAGAAGCTTTCTTCACAAAATACTTTGGTCATAAAAAGAAACATTATTTGTGCACTTTCTAGCCAACCCTCAAAGTAGGTGACTTCTCCTTTCCCCAAGTCAGGTCCATCGCCCTCGATGGCAACGGAGGCCATTTTATCGTCAAACAAAACAAGACTGTTCAAGTGGTCTTTGAGTTTGTTGACTTCGTGGGCATCGTCTTCATGGCAGATGATCACGGCGTCAAACTTCACAGGCACCGGCATGTCCACTGCGGATAAAACACATCATAATAAATCTTCTGAGATCACTGAGTTTCACCAATACATGGCCCAAGGTTCCCAACCTGGATGAGAAGCTAAACAAAATTCACTAAAAAACGAAAATGTTGCAAAAGAAATGAAAGATCATTGTGAGAGTGAGTGGTATTCTATGAAGAATCTAATCATATATCGTTTGTTCCATGTCAAATTCAAATATGGAGTCTTAAAAATAATAGATGTTCTGAATGTTCATGTACTCCTTGCTTGACACAGATGCTAAGCTTTTTTGTTTTGAACAAGGAAATCACCATAGAAAGTCAGACACTGTAAGCACAGTGGGCAGGTGCCCCATGTTGCCGGTCTGTAGAGGTGGGTCACAACAGTCAGTCTGGAACTGTCTTAGTCAGTCAGTCAGTGAGTGAGTGAGTGCCAGCTACATCATGAATTGTACACTGACTGACTGAGTTTGGTTTTACGCCGCTTTTAGCAATATTCCAGCAACATCACGGCGGGGGACACCAGAAATGGGCTTCACACATTGAACCCATGTGGGGATTCGAACCCGGGTCTTCGGTGTGACGAGCCAACGCTTTGACCACTAGGCTACCCCACGGCCCCAATTGTACACTGAAGGACAGGAAAGGGGGTAAAGCCTGAAGTTCTTAGGCATATTCATAGTGGAGATGCCTCTTCTATTTCGTTATCCTGGCATCCATTCTAAAGGATGTTTAAGACATAATGTGAACACCTCTGAGTATTACATGTATTACAATATAGTAAACACGTTTCAAAATATTACTTTGTCCAACATCAGCAACAGTTGTTTACAAACACTAGGGGTGAAACGGTTTACCGCGGTATTAGTAGAACAGCAGTATTTACATACCATCCCAATCAACCATCCACTGAGACAACACCATCACAATCAACCATCCACTGAGACAACATCATCACAATCAACCGCTGAGATAACACCATCACAACCAACCACTGAGACAACACCATAACAACCAGCCACTGAGACAACACCATAACAACCAACCACTGAGACAACACCATAACAACCAGCCACTGAGACAACACCATAACAACCAACCACTGAGACAACACCATAACAACCAACAATCCACTGAGACAATACCATCACAATCAACCACTGAGACAACACCATAACAACCAACCACTGAGACAACACTATCACAATCAACCAACCACTGAGACAACACCATCACAATCAACAATCCACTGAGACAACACCATCACAATCAACAATCCACTGAGACAACACCATAACAACCAACCACTGAGACAACACCATCACAATCAACAATCCACTGAGACAACACTGTAACAACCAACCACTGAGACAACACTGTAACAACCAACCACTGAGACAACACCATCACAATTAACCCAACTAAGGTGAATCAACAAGTCTTTGTTATTTCATTCATAACAGTAAATACCTTTCATGGTTTCTTCTTGAACAGGTGTACTTGATGGGGGATTGGCATCTCTGGACTGCTGATCTGGTTGAGCTGGTGGACAATATGTTTCCCTCCGTATTGGAACCTTAGGTTGCTGAGCTGCACACTGGCTACCTACAGGAGATTGAGTATGTGTATCTGGGTGGTGACAGGAAGAACCATATCCTGCCGTATGTCTCGGATCTGTCCTGGATGACTCTGCGAGGAGCTCTGTTAACGGTGGTGCTGTGGTTCCCTCAATTAGCTCTCTTGGCAAGTGGGTCGTTGCGTCTCCAAACATACCTGCTGCATGATTGACTTCAGGTGAGAATGGCACAGCGTCAGATTCAAGGTCTGATGTCGGCAGACTGGGGTATTCCATGCTGTTCCTTTGCGTAGCACCTGTGGTGTTCTCTTCATAGAAGCGAGTTTTGATTTGTTCTGGGTCAACACTTGATCCTTCCAAGTTCATGTCCATTTTGAGTTAATCACATCATCTTAATCTGTCAGTGAAAACAGGCGATCATTTCAAAATACAAATTCTGATACATTTAAGCATGGTTCACACTGTTAATTTACATATATCAAATCTTTTCTTTGAACCATTTTGTCTCCAGATTATCCCTTTACAACTGGTCTGTTGTGTTTTCATACTTCTATGTCATTCCTTATGATGTTACTTAATGCTTTTGTAATTGAAACACTTGCCAACAATGTTAAACTTATGATTTTACAACGAATGCTTGCACTGCCAAAACAGTCACATCATAAAGCTCCATGTTGACTCTTCTCTACAATTACCTAACTTGAATTGGATAGTAATCAGTTGTGTACAGCTGGTAATGTTCTGTTTCATCAATCAATTGCTCCATATGTCTATAAACAAACAATTTCTGGAATCCATGTCTTTACAAAGAAAACTACTTGTAGGATGTCAGTGGAGACATGATCAGATATAAAAGATTGTAGCAAAAATTGATTCTTTATTTTTTCCGATTACCATATACAACATTTAGGGTGGGGGTAGCTAGCTGCTTCCAATAGGCCTGTTAGTGAATGGGCACCTTATAAGTTGATTACACATGTTATTACTATCACATACCACATATGACTTGCATGGGGAAATATGACTTAGACTCATGTTTTGCTTTCTGTGCAGACTGGTGCATGAATCTATAATTAATTTGAGTCATTACATCCATTAATGATTTAAATTTGTTGGGATGAATTTGGAGTGTCAACATACACTTGTAACATGTTTGTAAACTAAAACTGTTTTATCAAAAGTTATTATACGTCATATACATATACTCAGTCATATTAGTAAATAATATTCAAAGAGTTGTATAGAAGTAGGTCAGGGTGCCAAGTACTTCTTACATGGCATGAAATAAACATGGGCTGCCTATGCATACGTGTAATCAGCTGATAAGGCAGATCTATGATAATATCAGGCCATGGTGATGTACATACTCCTAAACGTATACTAGATGATCCATACACACACAGATTTGTACCCTACAAAAATGGCTGACCTGTTCCAAGAATTCTCGTTAGCTTCGTTCCTAATTTTGAGCATTCATACCTTTTTCCATCCATACAGAAATATAGATGATTCATACCCAAATATAGATGATTCATACCCAAATATAGATGACAATTTACTTTATGGCTCAATAAATATAGCTGTGGCATATAGTTGTTTTAGTATGAAAGCTAATTATTCTTGGAAGTGAGTTCAAGTAATAATACAAGATTACACAGGTGGCAATTGGGCTTCTCATGCATTACATGAAACACAAATCAAACACTGTGGCTTACTTGAGAACATGATAAATATGTTTAGTCAATATACTGTTTAATCAATATGTTGAGCAGTAGGGCTGGGAAGGGTTAACCAAGTACCCAGGTCAGATAAACAATTTTCACTACCTGGGTCCTGAAAACAGTACCTGGACCAGTTTTGTTACGTGACTGGTCACGTGTGACTGATAGTCTGATACGTTACGCAACTTGATAGAAATGAAATAATAATGAACCAAACTTACAGTCTATATTTGTTTTTCAATCATAAAAATGAACCCAACAAAATCGGACATTCTACATTAGGCGTTGTGTTACATTGTTGATGCTTTCGGGAATTTAGGCAGGGATGTGATCCATCCATGAATGAACATCACAATAACCAATTTCGTCAATAATTAATTTGTGATATCTTTTGAAGAATAGAGTGTAACAAATTAATCCTAAGATTTTCTGATTTATAAGGAAGATATATAATAATGGCCAAGGTGACACCTATTAAGTATAATTTTCTTATCTGATTTTTTACAATTGGTTTAACCACATCTGCTGGGGCCTTGGCCACCTTCGACAGCCAGGTGTTTCCACATCCAGGACATACCATCATCTTTAAAGCTTATTTCTGCACAGCACATGTATGCAAATAAATTGCATAGGTTTTGACAGCTTAAAATATGACCAGACTCTATGTGGCCATGACTGCCATGACAAATCTTCAAATACAGCTGAAACAGATACCCAGGTCAGGTCAGGTAATGGCACCTTGGGTACCTGGGGCTCAAATTTCTGCTGGTGGTTGCCTTATTGAGTACGCAAGGGCTTGTAATGCTAAAAATGAAGGTATGTAGTTGTCATTTATCGGGGTCTTGGCACTATATAAAAGGAACTTCATTTTTATAGTGCTAAGACCCCAAGTAATGACAGTACATACCTTGATGGCAGTTTTGGTGTTACAAGCCCCTAGTTGTGAGTGAGTGAGTTGGGTTTTACGCCGCTGGTAGCAATATTCCAGCAATATCACGGTGGGAGACACCAGAAATGGACTTCCCACATTGTGCCCATGTGGGGAATCGAACCCGGGTCTTCGGCGTGACGAGTGAACGCTTTAACCACCAGACTAAACCCAACCCAACCCCCGCTGTGATTGCGTAGATACTTTTCAGAAGGGACTGAAATTACTAAATGAGTTTTATTGTTTCAAGCGATCAGTTGGTAATAAGATGTCCAGTTGTTTAGGTAAGATATGATACAGGATGTCCAACATTTGGGGTACGAGTACGAAAAAAATGTTTGGGCACGAATCTCCGAGACGTGGGTACCGTTACGGATTTTAATAGTTCCCACCCGACTGTCCCCCACGGCGGAGAGAAGCGCGCTTGTCGTCTACTTTATGACGTAAAACAATATCAAAACTGAAAATCATTGAATCGAAAACATGGAAAATAATATAGAGGCTACAAATTTAACCGACAGCTGACACATGGCGTCTGATACTCACGACTTGATGCTTACGTCATGGTTTGACTGTCACATTTGATCGCGGGCCTCGGCCACGAACAGCTGACAAACAGGCCCACGTCAAGTGAAGTTTATGGTAACAGTTGTAATAGTACTGAAGATGATTTACCTTCCACGTATAAACAGCAGTTACAAACGTCATCAGATTAATGTTAGTATCGTGCTGTCATAGGTATAGCTTCGAACCGAAAGCAGATCTTGTCTGGCAAACTCGATATTCCCCGACCGCTTCCGCATTTGGGTTGCGTTTTGGCGCAACACCTTTTGTTCCCAAACATCTAAATTTCAGCAGTACAATGTATTTTCATTATAAACACTGTATGTGTGTGCGCTCGCGTGCGTGCGTGTGTGCGTGCATGTGCATGTGCATGCATGTTTGTAATGTTCCACTCGCTTGTAATGTTCCACTATGCTTTTATCATCACAATTATTCCCACTGATAAATTTATACAAATCACATTTTAACTAAAATGTAATGGGATATAAAGAAAACCAGTTTTATGGCCAATAAACAAAAATATGATGTTGTACTTTTTTAAAAGTTAGCACTACGCGTACGGTTTTAAAATCAAATTTAGAGCTCTTATAATTTTGTTATATAGCTCTGATTTTCAACACGGTTCGTTTATATCCAAATTCACACCGCCCTGACAGACAGACAAGCACACAGTTTCGTCCTCACCGTAATCCTAGTTTTGTGAATAACCACTAAAAACAAATATGGCTGCCACCATGGGCAGCATGCGACGGAACTTGAAAGACTTTTCTACCCTTCTGGAAAGGCCCGAAATATTTCTCAGGTTCGTTTCCAATAATGAGAGGCAGTTAGTTGCCTACTAAGGGTATCAGTTTTAGTATTAAAAATCTACCCGTGTGTTGAAGCGTATATCGTGTTTGGACAGTAGAGTAACCTAATTTCGCGAGTGTCCTCGGATAATAAAACACGTGCATTCTAGCCTTACTATTACCTAACAAACGTCACTTTCATTCATTGTCGGGTAAAACGGGAGTACTGCACTTTACTGGGCACACTTTTTCAGGCTATTTATCGCTGCTGGGGTTCCCTAACCCTAACCCTTGCCCCTAACCCTAAGGATCGTAAAGGGTGCCTAACCCCAAGGATAGTAAAGGGTGCCTAACCCTAAACCCTAACCCTAAGGATCGTAAAGGGTGCCCTAACCCTAAGGATCGTAAAGGGAGCAGCGAGGGCTGCGCCCGGTAAAGTGCATTCTAGCCGGTAAAACATATCTTTCTCTTATTGAAAACAACGGTAAAGTGCAGTACTCCCCTTTCTTCTATTGAAAACAACGGTAAAGTGCAGTACTTCCCCAAAATTTAAGTTAGGGTTAGGTTTAGAGTTGGGGGAACGGAAAGAACTCTTTCAGCGATGGAGTGAGTGTGTTTAGATACAGTGTGACCAGTATTCCAGTTTTATCATGGCATCACTTAATGAATGTAATTAACAAATATGAAATTAAATTTGTATTTGCTACATCAAAATTCTGTAAGGGTCCTCCAGATTTGTGTATTGGGTATCCAAAGTTGTGTCTAAGCTAGTCAAATGATGTACAATTACTTCAAATGAGGTACAGATCAGATGGGATTTTTTTTATATGTATTAGCTATTTTTGATGAGACTGATTTGTGTAGTTATGGATCATGTAGCATCACCAAAGTATACAAACTGAATAACATAGACAGAGGCATTGTGGACAATGACACATTTTGCTGTTTTAGCCAATTTGCTGTCATTAACTGCTGAAAGCAGTCTATGATATGTTAAATATTTTATATGTGATCAAGTCCTGGTTATAACAAACATTAATTATGCATTAATGTATCATCAAACCTTCTTAAAATCTGTTTCAGTAACTAATGAATCATTAATAACTAGTTGTATCAGTAGGGTTTGATGTAACCATTAGTTAACATGGTTAATGGATATGTGATACAACAGGGTCCTGCCTGCAGATGTGGGTTCCCAAGTCATCCTCACTACACTGAAATAATATAGGAGCTGGCAGTGTTTTCACAACCTTTGGACATACTGAGTATATTAATGGTGGATATACTAGCCTGTGGCTCAGATGTAACAATACAATCACTCTAACTAACCATCTGTAGGTAGTGCAGCAGGTATATCATGTGCATGCCATACTTTGTTTAACACTGATGCCAAAGTCAGTACTACTACTAGCATTACATATGTGTCAAGTTGGCCTGTGTAGAGTTGATGGGAGGACCCAGAGGGGGGAGCCTGTCAGCTAGTGGCTGATAACATGAACACTGGAGTAGTTACCAGTCAGCTACTGGGCTTGGTGTTGTTGTTGTTTTTACTACTCAAAGTTCCCATCTTTTATCCCAAGGTAGCAATAAATATATTTAGCATGAGATACAACATACACACAGAACTGTAAACGTAACCATGATAACTGTCTTGTATATTGTGGGCTAAGTAAAATAATAAATATATATTACTGTCTTTACCTAACTTTGATCAATCAAGTTGATTGTTTCCATGTTTAGAAATACTCTATGGTTATTAAGTAGTGTAGGTCTCCTGTTTGAAGACCTAAAATTAATTAATCAACACACACGTTATGAACCTAGTTTATACTTTCTTACCTTTTAGCACCCAGCCATCTTTATGCAAGAAGTTAAGGACTGCCACCAAAGCTGTGTATGACTTTGCAAAGAACCAGGAATCTGATTGTACTTCTGACAAAGGAGTACTTCCTCGACTAATTGTGAAAGACTTCGACGAGGAACAGATCTGGCAGGAAATAGAATTACAGAACACGCACAGTGTGAAGAAGCTGCTTGTTGCTGTGTCTGAAGTTCTTGTCAAGAAAAACATTAGTTTTAAGTAAGTTATACTGAAATTTGCAGGCACAGTCAACCAGAATGGCTTTGGCCTGTTCGGTGATGATTTAGCAGATGAAGTATAAGCTGTAGCATCATAGTACTGATAACTGATGTAGTAGCTGTGTGGTCCAGTGGATAGAGTGTCTGCCTGGAGAGCTGTGTGTCAGTGTTTGATCCCCAGACAGGACAAGTGATGGTAGGAGATGACACCTGTTGTTAGTATGTTACTCAGTAACTCACTGACTGGTCAGTTCGCTGTTTGTATTCTTTATATAAGTGCCGCATCCATGTTAAAATTGCGTCATGGTACATCAGTGGGCTAGTACTGTAAAACCAGCTTTAGTCGTGACTAGTACAAGCCACACACACAACATGTAAGTGCTTGGTCTTGTTGAACCCTTTTAAACTCAGCCTGTCCATTAAACAAGGAATATGTGCTAGTATATTGTAATTCTAAATGTTGAAATGACATTTTGTATGCATGATATGTTTGCTCTTTGAATAAGGTGTTGAAAGATTAATTCTGATGGTAAGTGCATTGCAACTTTTACAAATACTTAGTTGTGTTTGGGATAATACAGTTGCATTGTGATAGTGTTTCTTACTTTCTATCCTCTCACCCAAATACTGATGATACCCAGAACATAGAAGCAAACTTTGTCAGGAGCATTTTTTACTCATTTGTTGTAGAGGTGGGGCCTTACCTTCACCTAAGAGGGGGAAAGAGAAAAAGGTTGAGTTGACGGAGGAGGATGAAGCTAGCAGCGATGATGCAGATGATGAGCTGCTGCAACGGATCAAGACGCGACTACGAGGGGGGAGAAGATGGGGGCGACTCGGAGGATGTTGATGACTTTGATGTGGGGTCAAGTGACCTTGAGATGGGGGAGGATGAGATGATGGACGATGATGATGATGAGGAGGAGGACATTCAAGATGACAACAGACAGAAGAAAGCAAAGAAGTTAAAATACAAGAGTGTGGTGGATGACACATTTTTCAAATTGTCTGAAATGGAGGCATTTTTAGTGCAGGAAGATGCTAGGGAAGAGAAACGTCGTCGATTGGAATCTGGGGGTAATGACGGCGATGAGAGTGACGATGACGAAGATGAAGAAGATGATATTGACATGTTTGCTGAAATCCCTACGTCAGACGAGGAGGATGGGGTTAGTATTCAACAGCCAATAGCTTATTCCATCACATGCATTGTTAACCAGATTCAATCTTGCCGTAAGGCCCAACAATATAATTTACAATGAAGATTGGTTGCTATAATGTTTTTAAAGGTATGTGAAATTGGTCTTGTGGCTTCAGTTGTGAGAAGTAGAGATCAAATGGTGAGTGTTTTGTTCTACGGTGCTTCTTTCGGAATCTACGGATCATTGTTCCTCGTTCCAGATTTGTACTGCTTATAAGACCACCATTACGGTCAAGTGGATAGAGGGTCTACTCAGAGGGATATGTTCATGTTTGATACTCGGACATATCATACCAAAATATGTTAAATGATGGTACTTGTTGCTTCCCTTCCTGGCGGTAGGCATTAAGGAGATAGAGCAAGGAGTACTCAGTTGTAGTCAGTATGAGTGTCTGAGTGGGGTATCCATGTTGAACATCAGTCCCACAGTAAAATAAGCCCTTAAGGCACGCCTAAAGTTTTAGAGACATAACTCACCTCTAGTCATTTAATCCGCAAAACATTTACGCAAATGACAAACAGAGTGATGGGAGTACTGATTAAGAGATTAATTTGATTAGCATATATGAAACATCAAATTTTACTTATATTCTGAACATAAAATCTTCACAACATACTTATTTTTCCTTATCCTGACTCATGCTTATTGCTTGTCTTCTTTTTCTTCTTCCAAAAGCCCGAACCTAGTGGAACAGTGAAGTGTATCAGCCCAATTGAAGTTCCCTTCAATAAAAATCACTCATTAGTACTCTTCACCAAAGAGAGAGTTAGCTCCCTTCCATATTCTGAACATAAAATCTTCAGGAGCATACTTATTTTTCCTTATCACTGAGGCTTATTGCGCCACCTGCACCATGTGCCTCCTCTCTCCTTCTTAAGCCCAGTGAGCTGGGCGTGGGAGCGCCTGTGTCTCCCAACACACTATATCCTTTATTTATATTTAGTTTAGTACCTCTTTATACTTAGTATAGAGGTGTTACTAGTATCCTTATTCAATTTTGCATTGATTATTAATCGTGTTTCTGCTGTTTATTCACGGTTAAGCGTGCTTGTTCAACAGTTTACGTTAATGAGAATCTGCACAGATTGTAAACTATGTTACTCTGATACAGACCCACATTTAAAATGCCCTAGTTGCATTACTCCATGTTCATTTGTTTCTCGTTGTAAATTATGTATTAATTTACCAATTTCTGCCTTTGATAAATATTTATGTTCCGTTTTTAGGCGGAAGGCAGATAAATCTAAGTAAACAAATCTCAGTCATGGCTAATAGATCACATATTAATGTTCCCTGTCAACTGTTGACTGACTGACCATACACCGACTGGTGGCATGCCTGAAGTTTCCCTCGGGGGATAAGCGTGGGGCCTTGATCTGCTATGTCCAAGAAGCGACCTGCGTCTCAAGATCTGTCGTCTTCTCAGTCTAAGACTAGTAAAGCATCCACATCTTCTGTGCGCTCGTACACCCAGGTCTACTACTGGCGTCAAAGGGAAGTCTACAAAATCTAATAATTTTGCCTCTGATATTTTACCAGTCACAGAATTAGCCTTATATGATGATGACATTCCGATTATCATTCAGAGATTACGTCACAAGAAGCGTCCGGTATCATGCGACTGTCACCTCAGCGCAGATTAACACACAACCCGGAGATGCCTACGCTGTCACCAGAAATTTTGACTGAGGGTCCGTCACCTTGACAGAGAGACAACCCTCATCATCAGCGCGGAACCGCCTCAGGCGACCTGGTCAACCATATCATGAGGCTGATGGAAGACCGTTACGGTTTACAGAGGCCCCAGAGCCACGGGCCCCAGAGCCCACCCCATACTAAGTCATACAGGGCCCCAGAGCCGCCTTGGCTTCAGCGTGGGGCCCCAGAGCCCACAGGCGGCGCTCTCCGCGAAGGGCATCCCAGCCCGGAGCGAGCTCTTTGCATAGGGAATCCCAGGTCACCTCCGCGAAGGAGCTAGAACCTCACCTATTGCGAGAGGCTTCGCGGAGAAGGAGCTCTTCGCCGAGCACCACTTTGTAATTCACAGAGGTCGTTCGCGAAGCAAGCAGCTCACATGTCGATTCGGACACTGACTTCGAGACATTCGCGAAGGACGCGAAGGCTAAGTGGTTCCATTTCTACCTCGCCTAGAAGAGCTTCACGAAGCCCCCAGCGTTCGCGGAATATCCAGCGTTCGCGAAGCCCCCAGTGTTCGAGAAGCCCACAGCGTTTGCGAAGCCCTCACCGTTCGCAAAGCCGTCAGCCTTCGCGAAGGATATCTTCTCCAAGGTCTCCGTACACTAGCCACTCATCAGTCCGTTCTCCACAGTCCTCACATAGATCTTCCCATAGATCTAGGACTCCGAAAATATGACCATCGTCAGAAGAGGAGGATGGTATCATTTTCTCAGACGCTGAGATAAGATATTGGATGGTGAACGAATTACAACTTGCCTCCCCATCAAAGAACGAGGATGCAACTCAGACTTATCTGAGGAAGGATGATGATGTGGATTATATCACCTTACCTCCTATTGACCCAATCGCAGCCGTACCAGCTAAACAAGATACAGTCTACTCCAAATCCACTAAAGCCCAATCTACTCATTTACCGGTCTTCAATGCCAAGAAATTTGCTGGACATAATATGGAACCCTTTTTCAAGGCCCAGGATATTGATGACAACTTTCAACTTATCTCTGATACCAAGTCCAGAAGTTACAGAGTAGACGATTGCAAACTGGCCCAATTAGATACCATTTCCAGAAGGATGTTCTTCGGATTAAATAGATCTAGGACTATTAATGAGACTCTCATCACCAAGTTCAAGAATTCTACAGATGAGGAAGACAGAATGATCTATTCAGCTCTACTCATGCAGAAAAAAGACCACCAATTTCTTACAGAACACCTTTCGGCGCTTACTGAAACTACTACCATGACTCGTCGGCAAGGACTACTAGCCTCCTGCTCTTGGAATAAACAATTCACAGAGCCTCTTTACACAGCTCCATGGTCATCGCCTTTCTGTTTGGTGGCAACATAAACAAGGTCTCCAAAGAAGTATCTAAAGATTCCAGAGAGGTACTCATGATTAGATCCATGGATACCTTAGCGAGCATGCTTTAAACAGTCAGCACAGAGATACTCGGGCAAGGCTCAGTTCTCAGGGCTACAGAGAGCACAGGGACAAGAAACTAGCTGCAGCTAATAATCCCAAGGATTCTTTTAAATTAAGCCCATACAGCAAATTTAGAGGAGGATCAGCGAGAGGCAGATCATCCAGAGGTGGCCGTGGATTTAAGCGATGAAAGGCAGGGTTGGAACGACTGGAGTCTTCCACCCCAGTCGTTCCAGTACAACCTTCTCAAGTGGGTGGGCGTCTTCAACTACACTGGGAAAACTGGGGAATACTACAAGATCCTTATGTATCCAACATCCTACAGCACGGATATCTCATACAACTCAAGGCCAAGCCGCCGTTAACAGTCAACCCACCAAGGTTCAGCGTTCAACCGGCTCAACTACCTATGTTAAGAGAAACAGTACAGTCTCTGCTAAACAAACAGGCCTTAGAAGTTCTGGATCAACGAAACATCGCATTACCAGGTTTCTACTCCCCAGTTTTCCTAGTGCGAAAAGAATTCCAAGGAGAAGTATGTCGTCTCATTTACAACATGAGCACCTTCAACAGAGAATATCTATGCAAACCACCAGCGTTTAGCATGATACATTTACCACAACCCGACAATTAATTAGACCCACTAGATTACATGGCCAGCATAGATTTGCAAGGCGCATATCTACACATTCCGATTCATCCCAGCTCAAGGAAATATCTAAGATTTATCCTAGGCGGCATACATTACCAATGGAAAGTACTTCCCTTCGGAATCACTTCAGCCCCTTGGGTATTCACAAGAGTAACCAAGCCTATTGTCTCTTACCTACATCGTCAAGGTCTGCGGAGCGCATTTTACCTAGATGACGGTATACAAGTGGATCCAGATCCACAGCGTCTCAGACTACAGCTGAACTTTATAATCAAGCTACTAACTCAATTAGGTTGGTTAGTAAATCTACTCAAGTCGGACCTGAAACCAACACAGGATCTGCACTTTCTAGGTATACGATTCCTCACAGCTCAGAATCGGTTAGTAGTCCCGGAGGACAGATGGATCAAGATCCAACAACTGATTCCTCAAGCCCTACTCTCTCCGTTACCACTACGACAGTGGCAGAGCCTATTGGGACTACTCACATCAGCTCAAGTCTTGACACTCAGAGGCAGGCTTCAATTACGTCCATTACAAGTCCTCATCAATGCTCATCTCGAGGACCCTCTACCGTTCAGTCTACCAGATTACGTCAAACCACATCTACTCTGGTGGACCAAGAGATTGAATGTTTGTGCAGGCGTCTCCTTAGTAGAGCCGGAATCGAAAATACATCTCTACGCAGACGCAGCGTCACTAAAAGGTTGGGGAGCCCAACTTGCCCGGCAGGACAGCGTCAGGCCTATGGAGCAACCAAGAGAGCAAATGTCACATAAATCTGCTAGAGATGCAAGCAGTCATAAACGCCATAAGTCACTGGAGCAACTTACTACAGAACGCTCAGTTGATGATTCACACGAACAATTCAACAGTGGCATTTTATGTGAACAAACAAGGTTCAACAAGATCACTAAACCTACTCAATCGTTGTTTCAGACTGTTCGATTTAGTCGACAGTCTAAACATACATGTCAGAGCGTGCCACATTCCAGGAGCAAAGAATGTGTTAGCAGACGCTCTCTCTCGGCCACACCAACCGTCACCGACAGAATGGATGCTCCACACAGAGATATTCAATCAAATAATCATGGAAATAGGATCTCCATTGATAGACCTATTTGCCACTCGATTCAACAAACAACTGACAACCTTCGTATCGCCAGTGCCAGACCCATTAGCATGGGCAACGGACGCACTAAGCATATCGTGGGAGGGACTCAACGCGTACGCTTTCCCGCCTCCTTAATGACCACAAGTCTTACAGAAAATCAGTCAAACGAAGAGCCTCGATCTCATTTTGGTCGCGCCATACTGGCCTGCGAGAACGTGGTTTCCAGATCTCATGCTAGGAATCGGAAAACCAGTACTTCAGCTCCCACTGCGCACCAATCTATTGATACATCCGCACACCAAACAAGTGCACAAGACACCAGAAGCATACCAACTTCACGTGTGGATTGTATCAAGGCATGTTTGAATAAGAGAGGTTATTCTGCCAGAGCGGCTAAAGCGGTCACGCTTGCACTACGTCACTCAACTCGTAACTTGTACGATGACAAATGGCACAGCTTTGTCAATTATGCTGCTAAGAAAGGATTTACAGCCAGATATGCTACACATCCTCAAGTGGCAGATTTCTTATGTTACCTACGTCAACCTAAGAATCTAAAAGGCTCAACCTTGTCCACTTATCTTGCAGCTTTAAGTTCTGTCATAACTATGAGAACGGGCGTCAAATTGACCAAAACACCGGAGTTACTCGCTTTGTTACGAGCGTTCCGATTGGAAGACCAGAAACGGAAGTTTCAAGCTCCAGCATGGGATCTAAATATAGTACTCCAACACCTCACAAGTGAGGCTTATGAGCCTTTGTTATCTGCATCGTTTGAATCACTGACCCACAAGACCTTATTCCTTTTAGCATTAGCTACTGCTGCCAGGATGTCTGAGATTCACGCTTTGGATTACGAGAGAACACGCTTTGATGATACTCATAACATCGCTCATCTGGGACTTCGCTGGGATTTTATAGCTAAAAATCAACTGCCAGGTCAACCAGACAGGTTGTTCCATGTCCCAGCTCTCTCATCCATACTTGGACCGCATGATACGATGGACCTATCACTTTGCCCTGTATGCACTGAAAATATATCTCCAACGATCCAAGAAAAGTAGAGGGAAATTCAAAAGATTGTTTATCCCTATATCCACCGCTTCACAGACAGAAGTGTCGCGTACTACAATTTCTATTTGGATCAGAACTGTCATACTACGAGCCTACAAGGCTGCTGGACTCGACCCTCCAAGAGCTTCTAATCCTCACGAAATTAGAGCGCTAGCCTCAACTCTCGCTCTACATGGAAATTGCTCATTGAATACCATTATGGAGGGATGTTTTTGGAGATCCGATATGGTGTTTGCCAACCACTATCTGAGAGATATCACCACCAAGGATGTCTCAGGTATCCACCATTTCGGTCCCATGGTCCTCGCTCAACAGTTGACAGTTCCACGGAGAAGATAAGTTGATCTTACAGATTTTATACTTATCTCATAACAGTACTAATAGCTACATGCTATATATATAATTTTTGCTTAAGTTTAATTTATTATCTTAAGCTCAGTACTTTGATTCTATATCATACTATATATATGTTTCAACTCCTAGGAGTTCTACTATTATATATATGTTCAGCTTATATTATCAATATTTAAGCTCAGTCACATGTTCAATTCATAACATGTATTAGTTAACAAACTCTAAGTAGTTGGTTACTATTATACAGCTTAAGTTATATTATATCTTAAGCACAGTACTATTACAGCTTATATATATACATATTGTAAGCTTCATACTTTGGTTCATTATAAAAGTATTCACTATAAACTCTCAGAAGTTTATACTATCACATTAATGGCTTCAATTTACCTTAATGTTGTATATACTTTTTTACCTTCACTAAATTGTAATAACCTTTTATATGGCAGCTGATAAGTTAACAGCAGGAATTCTTCAGTTCAGTGCCTTTATGAAGTTCCCATAGAGTTATTACAATCATCTCAGTTCAAAATCACTAATTATTAAAAATCCAAAGTATATATAATCCCACCTCCTGTTCCGTCGGATTCTATAAGCAATAAGCATGAGTCAGGATAAGGAAAAATATGAAATTTTTAGAGTAAAATTAATATTTTATACTTATCCTGACTCATGAGGTAAGCCCTCCGATCCTCCCACTAAACACTTTGGATTTCTTCGGAAAAATAAAGTGTCGGGCTCAAAATAAAAAGAGGAGAGAGTGAGGCACATGGGTGCAGGTGGCGACCTCGTTCCCGCGCTTGCGGAAGGGAGCTAACTCGTGGTGAGTACTAATGAGTGATTTTTTATTGAAGGGAACTTCAATTGGGAGATACACGTGTTCCACTAGGTTCGCAAGAAGAAGAAGACAAGCAATAAGCATGAGTCAGGATAAGTATAAAATATTAATTTTACTCTAAAAATTTCATTTTAATACTATGACTTAATATCAGCCTGAACCGGTAAGTCAGTTTTGTGATATTTCATGGAATGTACTTGAATACTACATTGCTTTGCATCTAAGGACAGCTTTGACAAGGCAAGGAGGCCACACCCCATCTGTGTATAAGTTGGGGCACCAACATGTTGTGTGGAAATTATTATTAAAGTAGAGTGGGTGTAATTTGTCTCATTTATTTAAGTGCATTCTTACAAAAATCTTACACAAAGGTCCCATCTCCATGATTTCTTTTTTCATCTATTGGTTCTACTAGTACCTGGTGAGGTGAAATTGGGTTCAACGTCGTGTTTGAGACTATATTTCGCCCATATGACGACGTGCATGCATGCATGCGTGTGTATGTGTATGTGCGGCTGCTTGTACTTGCCCAGACTGAAGATTCATTATACTGATCAGTCCTTGTTGTACTCATTAATGTAGAGCGTCAGGCAGGGACCAACAAGTACCATATTTTAATGTCTTTTGGTATGACGCAGTCGGGGATCAAACCCACGACCTTCCACTCTCCGGGCGGACGCTCGAACCACTACACACAGAGGTGGTCTCTACTGGTACCTAGTAGAAGAAAGAAAATAATTGTCTTATGAATTGTTTATCAATTTGTTGCTCATTACATGTAGGTGAGATGATGATGTTATGAGTGTTCTCTTCAATCAAGGGAGGAGAGCTGAGGTATGAAGATTTCTTCGACCCTCCTGATGAAGAACCAGAGAAAAAAGAGAAAAAGAAAAAAGTGAAATTCGTAAATGAAGAGAAAGAAAGGTGACTGAAAATTTTACAGTTTCTTGAATTCCACTTGACTGTCATTTTATGGTAATTTTGAGCTGTGAGGGTTCCAGTTTAATAGTGCCAAGCAACAATAGTGTGATGTACAAGGCAACCTAATGGATTGTTAGTAGCCCCAAAGCTGGTTCAGTTGTTTACAGACTGCCATCCCATTGCTGCACTATTGCTGAATGTGGTTTTAATCCAGCTTGATGTTGAAAATTAAGTTCAAAATCATTCCAACAATACTTCAGCTATTTCATTTTCAAGCTGTATGTTGTGCACTATGATCATGATGATCGTGTTTGAAGCACAACCTTCCCTCACAAGTCTAATCATATAACCTCTTTCAGGACATACACCTGTTTATAGTAAAACTTGTTAGGTAATACAATAATAAAATTCACAAAAGTAAGGTATTAACGCTAAATATAGACGTAACAGCTACCTAGTGGGGTTTAGGATAATTCTACCTTGAGTACTTGTTTATAAAATGTCTACCCATCCCAGCCCTTACCATGGTAAAATGTCTAATAAACATTGGCTTCTGTAGCCAGTGTGTTGTGTATGTGAAGTATAACTCATTTACTCCTGACTTCACAGTGAAGAAGACAACATGTCTGAGGAAATGGAATCCGACCGGGAGGAAGCCGCCAATAACAAGGTCAAGGACTCTACTAAAGCAGAGTTTCTGTCTACCTTTGAAAAGAGGCAGGAGAAGGTAGATATCCTTTAAGTTACGTGACAAATGAGTAACGAGGGCTGATGATGGGGATATGTGTCCGTTTTCCATAGAAAGCGATCTCTGATAATGGCCAACAAAAACCATCTCCTTACATACATGTAAACATGAAGTATTATATTTTTCTAAGAAATTAAAATTCAGTCCAAAGTTATTGTTACATACAAAATTATGTCAGTCAAGCCATGTCACAGGTGTGGGTGGAATGATAAGATGTGTAAAGAACACTGTGTAGATATGGTAACAAGCATTCTCTGTATGAAAAAGCGTTTACTACCAGCCTTCTGTGCGTGTTTCTTATGAAGCTGAATGGAGCATATAATATTTACTAGAAATAACATTAAATCAGGTATATTGGACATACCAATGTTATTCATTGGATAAAGGAAAGCAAGTAAGGTGTGCAGTAATGAATTGTCTAATAGGCCCAACGTGTGTGCACTGATTGATATTGTTTACTCCAAAAGGGTTAAAGAACAACCAGTTATTGTGTTGTAAGTACCTGTTGTAATATGAAGGAATCAGGTATTATTTAACTATTTGGACTAGTTTATTGAAGAGGTCAAAGTGGTTTTGGTTGTTTCTAAAGCATTTCTGTTTATCAGTTAAATGTTTAACACTCTGTAAGTCACTGATATATGCTGGATTTGCTGATCAGTCAAGTAGTCAGTTTGTATGTCAGGAATAACAATATATGGATGAAGAACTTCTTTAGTACAGTGAAAGTGACATGTAGGTGTAGATTCTATCACCATTATCAAGCAAACAACATCAGTTGTCCATCCATGTAGTGTTTTCCTTCCTTACTGCCTCAACTTCTAAATGCTTTCCAAAGAAGTTGTTAGTAAGTTAGACTGATAGAACTCTGGTCAGTTTACCTTTGACATGTTTCATCTGAATAGCTGGGAATCTTAACACCCGTTTTAATCGAAGATTCTCTTTGAGGAACCATGTGACTGTTTACATAGAAGTGACAAATCTCTATACTTGTGACTGTTTGTCATGTGTTGGTCTAAAACCTGCCTGCATCAATCTGTGTCTGTTCGGTAGTTGAAGAAACGCATCGAGCATCTAGAAAAGGCAAGTCTGGCAGACAAGACATGGCAGTTGTCAGGGGAGGTAGCCGGACCAGCCAGGCCTGAAAACAGCCTGCTGGAAGAGCATTTGCAGTTTGATGTCACGACACGGGCAGGTTAGGGTTGTCTCCCTTTGCTAAGCGAGCCTTCTGCAAGGATAGGTTTCAGATCTTTTCATCACAAAAAATAAGTGAATAAGAAGTGATCAATATGTGCTTATATGGTCAGTATCTGAAAATAATCCTGGTTGACATGCAGGAAGAGTGGCTAGATGTTTCACTCTCATCTATTCAAAGAATGGAAGCAGAATAACAGCAAAACCTTTTGAGACATTGCTTTTATAGTTTGTAGTATTTTGGTAATAATTTTACACCATGTGTGTGGAGGCCATGATGGAAGGGTATCTCATTAGTTATGACACTTGTTTTATGAAACATTAACTGACAAAAGAGGACAATTGTTTCTTGAAACAGTTTGTCTGTTTGTAAGTAGTTGTATGATTTAGTTGAACAGACAGGTGAACTTTTCAAGGCATTATCAAGAAAGAATGCGTAATGCATGAGAGAGTAATGTTTATTGAAAATTGGAAGGAACTTACCAAAAATCTGTACTAGAATGTGTACTTCACTGAGAAAGTTTAAGATGTAGAATATGTTATGATTGACAACTTTCTAAAAGGTATTGTGTGTTCATAGCTTTCGGCCTGAGAGCCATGGCAAATATCACTTGTCAGAGGGGTACACAAAGTATGTAATCTAGAATATCAGTTGTAAGACTTCCATATTTTTTAATGCTGCATTGGCTGAGAGTGTTAGATCGCTGACTTGCTTGCTGGCAATTAGGTGTGGGTTAGAATCCTGGATGGGGCTCAACCAGTCCGTGCAAGAGTCTGTACTTTACGAGAAAGTGTAATTCCAAATATAACATATGTTGTATTTTACCACTTTCTGAAATGGATTTTGTATTATGAAAGTGTTCTTAGATAAGTATTGTATGTTCAATGTTGAAAGTCATCATTAAGGTGTTTTGAGTAATACATGCTTGTTATGTATGTATATGTAATCACTTTGTGTTTTGCTTTTGACAGCCCCTGTAGTGACAGAAGAGACAACCAAATCAATTGAGGACATCGTACGTCAGAGGATTAAGGACAAGGTGAGTCTGAACAGTAACAGGCATTGACAGCCAGGTCTCTATAACCTCGTAGTTAGAAATGTATGATATGACAGTATGGTTGGACGTGATGGGTTAAGATGTGGATGTCCTCGAATAGGTGGACATATGGATGCATGTGTTGATGGTGCTTGGTTGGGTGGTCATGATGGTGCAGGTGTGGATGGGTGGTCATGATGGTGCAAGTGTGGATGGGTGGTCATGATGGTACAGTTGTCGATGGGTGGTCATGATGGTGCAGGTGTGGATGGGTGGTCATGATGGTGCAGGTGTGGATGGGTGGTCATGATGGTGCAGGTGTGGATGGGTGGTCATGATGGTGCAGGTGTGGATGGGTGGTCATGATGGTGCAGGTGTGGATGGGTGGTCATGATGGTGCAGGTGTGGATGGGTGGTCATGATGGTGCAAGTGTGGATGGGTGGTCATGATGGTGCAGGTGTGGATGGCTGGTCATGATGGTGCAGGTGTGGATGGCTGGACATGATGGGTGCAGGTGTGGATGGGTGGCCGTGATGGGTGCAGGTGTGGATGGGTGGCCGTGATGGGTGCAGGTGTGGATGGTGCTTGGATGGCTGGTCGTGATGGTGCAGGTGTGGATGGGTGGACATGATGGGTACAGGTGTGGATGGGTGGTCATGATTGGTGCAGGTTTGGATGGGTGGCCATGATGGTGCAGGTGTGGATGGGTGGCCATGATGGTGCAGGTGTGGATGGGTGGTCATGATGGTGCAGGTGTGGATTGGTGGTCATGATGGGTGCAGGTGTGGATGGGTGGTCATGATGTGTGCAGGTGTGGATGGGTGGACATGATGGGTGCAGGTGTGGATGGGTGGCCGTGATGGGTGCAGGTGTGGATGGGTAGACATGATGGGTGCAGGTGTGGATGGGTGGACATGATGGGTGCAGGTGTGGATGGGTGGACATGATGGTGCAGGTGTGGATGGGTGGTCATGATGGGTGCAGGTGTGGATAGGTGGACATGATGGGTGCAGGTGTGGATGGGTGGTCATGATAGGTGCAGGTGTGGTTGGGTGGTCATGATGGGTGCAGGTGTGGATGGGTGGCTGTGATGGGTGCAGATGTGGATGGTGCTTGGATGGGTGGTAATGATGGATGCAGGTTTGGATGGGTGGACATGAAGGGTGCAGCTGTGGATGGGTGATCATGATGGGTGCAGGTGTGGATGGTGCTTGGATTGGTAGTCATGACGGGTGCAGGTGTGGATGGGTGGACATGATAGGTGCAGGTGTGGATGGTGCTTGGATTGGTGGTCATGATGGGTGCAGGTGTGGATGGTTAGTCATGATGGGTGCAGGTGTGGATGGCTGGTCATGATGAGTGCAGATGTGGATGGGTGACATGATGGGTGCAGGTGTGGATGGGTGACATGATGGGTGCAGGTGTGGATGGGTGGCTGTGATGGGTGACTGACTAGGACAACGATTGTTGTGTGCTTTTGACAACGCTGTTTACTCAGTGTGCTTCAGGTGTGTTTGTGTTTCAGGCCTGGGATGATGTGGAGAGGAAGGTGAAGCCTAAAGGGGATGTGTTCGAGTACAAGAAGAGGATTGTCTTGGACCAGGAGAAGAGCAAGCAGAGTCTTGGCGACGTGTATGAACAGGAATTCCTCAAACAGCAAAAGGAGGAGGTAATTTCATTAAACAAAATACAACCATGTTTTGTATTGTCGTCATTGTGTGTCCTTTAGCTACTGTTGATGTTGATGTTTCTTGTTACAGAAAGAAGAAAGAGAGGAAGAAGATCCTAAGCATGAAAATATTCGCAAGTCCATGAGATCTTTGTTCCTCAAGCTTGATGCACTGTCCAACTTCCATTACACACCAAAAGAGGTAGTTATCTCATATGTAGTACTTTCCTGTATCATTAGTTCCTGTTTGGATCCTGTTTATACTCCTGATTAGATCAGGTGCTGGACGTGAGAGGCGGCCAAATGGATCCTGAAGTCAGACTCAGTGACTTGGATTGTCTGTTCCCTAGCATGAATGTGGACTCAAAATGTCCCTGTTAGTTCTATGTGAGGATGGGAGAGGTTGACCCCCAACATGTTTAGGTTGCAGCAGCTAGTCCTACTCTGACTATGTTGTGTCAGTAGTGATAATGATAATGCCCTGAAAAATAGCGTTACTGTTATTATAGCTAAAATGGATAGAATTTTTAATGAAATAAAAATAACGATATCGGTTTTAAAGCAGAGGTCACTGACACACAGTTTACAAATGTGGAAACAATGTACAACAAAACAGATGACATCACTGTTGTGAGTGACGACATTTGACCTTGACCTTTGCCCAGACGACCATTTTTGTCAGTGCTCAACAATGTTATAATGGCACAGGTACATGTGACGAATGTGAGTTAGAAATATCGTCAATATTGAACCCAAGTTCAAACGAGCCATAGGTGATTGGACATCAAGAGCTGAGCTCCTTATGACGTCGCCTAACAACAGGCATGATAATGGCTGGTCGTCAAGCAATTTTCACATCCCACCCCTACTGTCATTATACTGATGTTTGTCCACTGTTTGCATCCCACCCCTACTGTCGTCATAATGATGTTTGTCCCCTGTTCACATGCCACCCCTACTGATGTTTGTCCACTGTTCACATCCCACCCCTACTGTCGTCATACTGATGTTTGTCCCCTGTTCACATCCCACCCCTACCGTCATCATACTGATATTTGTCCACTGTCCACATCCCACCCCTACTGTCGTCATACTGATGTTTGTCCACTGTTCATATCCCACCCCTACTGTCGTCATACTGATGTTTGTCCCCTGTTCACATCCCACCCCTACTGTCATCATACTGATGTTTGTCCCCTGTTCACATCCCACCCCTACCGTCATCATACTGATGTTTGTCCCCTGTTCACATCCCACCCTACCGTCATCATACTGATGTTTGTCCCCTGTTCACATCGCACCCTACTGTCGTCGCCATACTGATGTTTGTCCACTGTTCACATCCCACCCCAACTGTCGCCATCATACTGATGTTTGTCCACTGTTCACATCCACACCCTACTGTCGCCATACTGATGTTTGTCCACTGTTCACATCCCACCCCTACTGTCATCATACTGATGTTTGTCCCCTGTTCACATCCCACCCCTACTGTCATCATACTGATGTTTGTCCCCTGTTCACATCCCACCCCTACCGTCATCATACTGATGTTTGTCCCCTGTTCACATCGCACCCCTACTGTCGTCATACTGATGTTTGTCCACTGTTCACATCCCACCCCAACTGTCGTCATACTGATGTTTGTCCACTGTTCACATCCCACCCCTACTGTCGTCATACTGATGTTTGTCCACTGTTCGCATCCCACCCTTACCGTCATCATACTGATGTTTGTCCACTGTTCACATCCCACCCCTACTGTCGTCATACTGATGTTTGTCCCCTGTTCACATCCGAACCCTTCTGTCGTCATACTGATGTTTGTCCCCTGTTCACATCCCACCCCTACTGTCATCATACTGATATTTGTCCCCTGTTCACATCCCACCCCTGCTGTCATCATACTGATATTTGTCCCTTGTTCACATCCCGTCCCTACTGTCATACTTGTGTTGTTGATTTTTGAGACTGTTCAGATGAATATGATTGTTTTGTCAGGCTCAGCCAGAGCTGAAGATTGTGTCCAACATGCCGACAATAGCAATGGAGGAGGTGGCACCTGTTAGTATCAGTGACCAGAAGTTGCTGGCGCCAGAAGAAGTAAAGGTAAATTGGCGATTTTTTTAGAACTACATGTACTCACATATCCATGAATATCTGGGTTACAATTGGTTTTCAGCAACAGATGCTTATCATAAGAGGTGACTAATTTGATCGGATGGTCAGACTTGCTGTCTTGGTTCACACATGTTATCATTTCCCAATTGCGTAGATCGATGCTCATGCTGTTGATCAACTCAACGCGATTATTCACAGACTACCGCCATATGGCTGGAGTATTGTTTAGTGCTGAGTTTAAACAACAAACAAGTGCACATAGGGGTGTGTAATGCAAGAAGTATCCTTGAGGCCAATATTGTCACGGCCAGGGTTTCAGCTAGGACAGTGACAATATTAGCCTTTACTTTGATACTGAGTGTTTTGTGTTGCATGCACCTGTGCATGTAATGTCATCCATTTCATAAATTCTCATCAGGAATAGTTCACTGTTGTCTTAGAATACATTCTTTTCATTCCCACACCAATAAAACAAATTAGTTCAAGCCAAAAACCTTTTTGAGTCCATGGATCTACAGTCTTTCATGTTGTGTGTAGGAGAAGGCCAAGCGAGATCTGAAAGGTGAGACGGAGAGGACAACGGAGGACAAGAAGAGGGACCACCGGGCGAAGAAGGAGAGGAAGAGGGCACGTCAGAAGGAGCGAGAACAGCGGGAGAAACTGGTGTCCAAGTTGAACCCAGGGCTAGGGAACAAATACAGCAAGGAAAAGGCTCTTCGTGACCTGGAGAAGATGGGCAAGTCTGACAGCTCCGTGACAGTCATGAAGGTGAGAGCTGTTCCGGATGTTCACACTGTTCTCAATGTGATGGTGTGTGTCTCTTGACCACCTGACATTGTCCTTCCCAAGCAACCAGGGCATGTCGAAAGAAGCAAGAAAATAAGAGATTACATAGATTGTTTGATTGCATAGATTGTTTGATTGCTTATCCAAGTATCCCACAGTGGGGGACATTTCCCTGATTCCTTTGGAGATTATCGAAATGTCTGTTCAATGACTATGTCCACTGAGACTGAAAACGTCTTATCCAACCATAAATCAAGGGTAAAATCTGAAACATTGTTTATCAACAATTTTATGTTTGAAAAATACTTTCAGCGAAACTCAAAAAATAGACGTAAATTATCTGTTGCTGACCTACATGTACATTCTGAAATGAATTTAATGGGAGTCTGAGATTCTCAAAAGCCTTGTGGTTGTTCAGTACCTTGTTGTGACCTTACTAAGCTACAGATGTTATGGTTGCACATTCCACTGAAATATCATTCCTCATATATCCTTATGTGTATTATGTTCAAATGCAAAACATCTGTAGCAAGGGACTTTCTATAGAAAGGTGAGAGGTGATTCTGTCATGTAGGGCAGCTATGAACAATAGATGGACTTCAATAGAGGTTTATAGGTTTAAGTAGAAAGAAACCACTATGAGACTAATTTTAAAAATTAAAATGTGATTGAAAAGAGTGGTGTGCTGTGAATGCACTCATGACTGGATCAAAGCACCAATAATTCATCATCATGTTTGAAACTATCTGTAAACGTCAAGATTATTACATGTATGTGTGCCACTCTCTAGATTGTGAAAAGTGATGACAATCTGGAAAACAACTCTTATTGAACTATTTGGCCAACTGCTTTTGATTGACGTGGTGATACTCTGCATGAAGCTAATATGCGTGCGAAATTGATCAAGGATGACGTGTTGTTTTTAACTTTCAGAGTGATTCAAGTAAGACAAGCCTGACGTCTTCGTCTGCTTTCTTCACCAAGCTACAAGATGAGGTAGCATCTCACATCAAACAGAGGCAGGATGACAAGAAAAGGGGAAAGAAGAAAACATCATCAGTGAAATTAAAATTGTAGATATGGAAATAAAACATTAGAAATGTTGCAAGTGTTGATGTCACTTTTCAAGGGAAAAGGTATTGTTTTACTAGAGATTTGGTTCGTGCCAGAAATATACAATTTTGAAACTCCTGACAAATTGAAATCCAAATGAAAGTTGTCAGATCAGTTTATACTGACAACTCAATACATAGAGTAAATGTTGTGCTGCAATATTGAAGCCTGCATTCCTCTACAGACATCTCAAAGTCTGCGTGCTATGATGGCAGCTGAATCTGTACAGATCAGATTCTCAATATGGCATAGAGAACATGCTATTAAATTCTCCAGATTTTTCTTGCGCTTTTTATGTCAAATTGAGACAGACAAAGTGGAAGTTGATATGAATGCTTCCTTAGGTGAGTTAACGTCTTTGGTATTTAGTGGCATTTAGAAGTTGGTGTGATGAGCGAGGAGAGTTCTATGGATATATAATATGAGCGACGTTTCAGTTTAGCTACTAACACGGTCATCAAGCAAGTGATGTACAATACTGAAGGCAAGGCTATATATACATTGTAAAGTTTGAACATTTGATGTTTGCACAATTAATGAGGTTGATGTACAAGATTGGAGGATGTTTACACAAGAAGGCAATTTGACAAAATCTTTGATCTGGTTTGTTTTTTTAGGTAAGAACCCATAGCTGAACCACATAATCTTATCTGCTAAGAGATATATTTACACTTGCTCTTTGACAAAAACAATTCCAAAAGTTGATAATTACTTAAAGGTCACATGCAACCAAAAAATCAAACATAATTAAAACACAATTATCACTTATTCATGACATATACTATACATTGCTGGTTATGAAAAAACAAATCAACAAAATTATAAGTTATGAAAAACAAATCAACAAAATTATAAGCGTACAATCGCAAGTCAAAAGTGCAATATTGTGTACTTGGGTTTACTTCCCTCGAAACGAAGCAGCCGGGATACCGAACCCAGTCAGAGCGGGTGGGTGTCCACTCAAGTGTAACGGCTGGTTCATTTGCAGATGCTCTTACGGCTCATTGTGTGTGTATATATAGAGATGTTGGGTTTTGTAAATGCTCATTTTTTGTGTATAACATTTTGCAATCAACAGACATCATAACATGTCATGTGTTCAAGTATTACACCTGCCTGTCTGTGTAATTACATAATGTGACAGAGACCGAACTCGGGCCATAAATCAATGCGTTTTGTTTATGGTGTATAGCCTGATTGGTGTCAAGTTCAAATTGCCTGTGGTCAGTGATCGCAGTTGTGTATTGAATATTGTCATTAGCAGACAGGCAGGCAGACATACAGGTGTCAATAAAACAAGACATTGAGTTTTGTCTGTGACAACGACATATCTATATCACAGTTAGAAATTCTGTCAAGGCTAAATAATGACATTGCTTTTAAGTATCGAACTGAGAAAGTGACTCGGTAAGAAGAACGTCTGGTGAAATAGACAAATGAAATTATATAAACAGTTTATTTACTGTCATAACATATAAAAAGCCTGCGCCTGTGAGATATCAACAAAACATCAGGAAAATAGCTCACACCAAAGCCTTCACCGAGTATTCAAAGGACAACCCGCTTCCAATTTGCGCGAACCTATTTCACTGCGCACGTGCTATGAGCGCAGCCCAGCTATTGAAACCAGTTTTCCCCCGAAAAGTCGCGTTATTTTTCAACTTTATAAGTTGAATTTGCATTTTTGATGATTTGTTTCGGTAAGTCGATACCGAAAGGTATCAGAATCTGCAAAGTTGTGTTTTACGTTGAATGTGACCTTTAAGGATATTGAAAGACATATTTACCACCGAATCATTCCTCTCCAGACGAAATAATAATGTTGAAACCTTTTTAGCCAAATGGTTTCCTCTCATCCTTGAATTTAACCATGAATGACTATTAAACAAAAACATATCACTGATATTGATATTCAATGTACTTAGTGTACTATATCGCTATTGAGCCCACTAGCTGCTATGTGCACATATTCCTCAATATGCTTGTACTCATCATGGTTTTGTACTCATCACATTGGGAACAATAAATAAATTTTTAAAAAATAAAAAATTCTCTTAAGACAGTTTGATAATTGATACAAGTGATACAGATTTCCCTAAAGAATTACAGTGGAATATCTTCATTGTTTGTATTTGTATATGTTAAAGTGTAGGCGTTTAAAATAATTCTGGATAGGTTTAATTGTGCATACTCTGTCGGGGTTAAGACTTTCCAAGTCTTGTTATCGTATTTTTACTTGCAGAATTTAAGACAGTTGAATATGTTAGAGTTCAGCTTGTCAGTCCAGTTGTCTTAACTTGCACGTAACCAAGCTGCCATAACCCTGGTTTAATGTTAACAGGAAAACACTGGAAATAAACTGTCAGGCTAATCTATTGCCACTGACGTGAACTGTACTATAAGCATATAAGATAAAAATCGATGAGTTACGTTTTGAATGTATGTTGTTTTGAAACCCTTAACTATTTCAATTACCTAAAGATATCGATCACCTCTTAGTAGATATCAAAATGGATATTGAACTGACAAACTTGGAAAAGCAAATACATGTATACTCATGGGGACAAATATCGCAACACTTAAGATTTATAAGAACTGTTTTTAGAAATACACATCCTAGGATCAAAGGCGAGCATCGCGTATACCCATCATTAAGCAAATATCAAGTTTCAGTAAACTGTCCTTACAGTTGTTTAACTCGGAAAATGGTTGTTGGCAAGCAAATATGGGACCCTCACAAATGACAACTGATCAATGTTGGCAAGTTATTGGTATGCCACTGAGGATTTATGCAAGAGATGATGGTTGTCATCCATGGACTAACAGCCGATTGGCCAGAAGACATCAGCTAACTAATGACGTTAATGACCGCCAGCGTTCCGGTCGACCACGAGTTATAACTCCTAGGGAAGATACAGCTCTTCTCAGAATCAGAAGACGTCATCAAGTGGAGTGTTAAAAACAGTGACTTCCACGTCGTCACTTTTCCAACAGAATGGTCCGACATCGCCTAAAACCTGCCCCGTATAGAGCCAGCTGTCAGACGTCCGTTGTCGTCCCCAGAGCACAAAGCAACACGATTAGCTTGGTGTGAAACTCGACGTCACTGTAATTTGAGGTCCTGGGGAAAGGTCCATCCGTGGGACGAAAGTCGATTTCCTTTGTTCTGTTGTTTATGACTAATGGTCGACCTCCTGTTTGGCGCCGCAGGAACACTGCATATACAGAACGGAATATCTTGGAGCAATTACTGTTGGCGGGGGTTCATTGAAGGTGTGGGGGTGCCTCTCTCATCAATGTACACTTGACCTTTGCGATAAGACAACGGTATATGTGTGAATGGACAACATCCTAGACAGGGTGGTTACACCACACCGATGATCATTCGTCCTATGAACACAAGGCCAGTCTTCTTGGACGACAGTGCTAGGACACATCGATGGTGAATCTTACGCACGTCAAGAGGTGACAACTCTACCATGGCCCGTAAGGAGATCTCAATGCCATCGACATTATTTTAACATTATAGGTCACGGAAGACGCCAGAGAGATCATCCAGTAAAATATCGTGATGTATTGGAACAAGCCCCCAACCAAGAATGCAACGCAATAGCTTGGTTCAACTTCTGATATAGTCATTGAGGAGGGTTAGAGGTGTTATTGCAGTTGGCGGAGGTTTGACTAGATATTGATATTGTGCACGGTTATTGATACCTATGTGGGTTTTTTAGGATTGTATGTCATTTTCTTAAAATGACCACACTTGGTAACGTCTTTCGATCATAGTTACCCGCACAATCCTAAAATAATACTCTGAAAATACTACAATGTTTCGTTCGTTTTGCGTTTCTATTGCCCTTCAATACTTCCTTGACGGTATCTTATTCATATAGTAAGTTAAAATGAGGTTTGCATACGTTCCTTTGCTATGGTTAATGGTAGCATGTTGAAACTAAGAAAACGATGGGATGTTGCGATACTTGTTCTGTGCGTATAGATCGTTGGAGAACATACTGAGGAAATCAATGGATCCGTTAAACAAACAAACGCACACGTGCAGATTTGAATCTCTAACCATGCATGGTCCTATCTCTGTTGACGGCTTCCATTTATGCAACACAGTTCTGTTGTCGAAGTACTTTGTCATGTGAAAACGACGATACATGACCATCACGATTTTTAAACAGTCACCTATTGCTTTAATTGATTTAAGTACTCGGGATTATTTTTCTTAAAGTATTTCCATCCGTACATGCATTCTCATTGGCTTGTCGTGTTTTTCGCACAGAACATTTATCGATAGATGAACATGACTGGTGACCATGGTGATGAAAGAAGCCTAGCGTTTTTAATTCAGATAGAGCACAGTAAAACGACCGTCCAAAGGTAAAACAAATCCGGTGAGAAGTTACAGAAAACAGATACGACTAAAGCCGCATGCATAGATGTATTCGGAGAAGGGTTCCAGTTAGTGGGAGTAGGGACCGTTCCAGTGCAGTGAGAATGTTCCAGTGGTGTAGTGGGAGAGGGGCCGTCCAATGTGTAGTGGGAGTAGGGACCGCTTCCAGTGGTGTAGTGGGAGTAGGGGCCGTTCCAGTGGTGTAGTGGGAGTAGGGTCCGTTCCAGTGGTGTAGTGGGAGTAGGGACCGTTCCAGTGGTGTAGTGGGAGTAGGGTCCGTTCCAGTGGTGTAGTGGGAGTAGGGGCCGTTCCAGTGGTGTAGTGGGAGTAGGGACCGTTCCAGTGGTGTAGTGGGAGTAGGGTCCGTTCCAGTGGTGTAGTGGGAGTAGGGTCCGTTCCAGTGGTGTAGTGGGAGTAGGAGCCGTTCCAGTGGTGTAGTGGGTAGGGTCCGTTCCAGTGGTGTAGTGGGAGAAGGAGCCGTTCCAGTGGTGTAGTGGGAGTAGGGATCGTTCTGTGGTGTAGGGTAGGGTCCGCTCCAGTGGTGTAGTGGGAGTAGGGACCGTTCCAGTGGTGTAGTGGGAGTAGGGCCGTT